TAAAAAGCCATCAAATAAATTTTGCAGGATCATGACCTGAAATTAAACACAAATTAAGGTAATTTTATTTATTTAGCACATTTTCAGTAACAAGGCAATTCAAAGTGCTTTACATGAATTAGAAGGAAACAGAAAAACAACACACCAAAGGAAAGAGCAAAAGAAGAAAAAAGAAAAGCATAAGCCCGTGTTTAAGAATAAGTATTCTGTGATTTATAAACTAGTAGTTTCTCTAGATTCTTATTCTGATAATGTTGATCTAAAGTAATGAATACTTTCTCTAGATAAATTAATAAGAGTTTGTCTGGATTCTAACTTTGTTCTAATCCCTGCTCTGGACTGAGTGACTTTCTCTGGATCTTTTTTACTCTAAAGGTTTGATTCCTGTTCTGAGCTGAGTGAAGTATGCAAACTAAATATTCCTGTTCTGAGTTTCTAAGCAGAATGAGAGTCACATAATCACAATAGTGATAGTAGAAGAAATATCCAATTGTCACTACATTTATTCAGTGGTAAGAAAAGCTCAGGTGAAAAAAAACACACTAATAAAGCAGTCATATAACTATCATAAAACTCAATCATTTTCAATCAAAACGTTTTAAAAATGTGTTTAGAGTTTCTTGGAACTTCTAATTCTGTTTCTCGGGGGCATAAATATGATGTGACACAGAGGCCTATTTCTTTGGCCACGAGGCTGGATAAAGACCCATATTTATGTTGCCACCACACAGAGCAGGAAGGCAAGGGAGGGGGGAAAAAATCTCAGTTAAGAGAACCGCAGCAAAGAGTGGCACGTTGGAGTCACCAAGTCTACCTAATAACCATTAAATGCTATCTACATGCCAGCTACTTGGAGGGATGCCAGAAAAAAAAAAAAACATTTCTGTCCTAGCATTAAAAAGGTAGCCATGTTCAGTTTGCCAAACTCAATTGAGCTTTAACTGAATTCATGTGCTTTGGTCATATGAGACTGAGATTGAGTTTTCAGGAACAAACACAAATGGGTGTTTGGTTTATGGTTGGAAGCAAAAAGTCACCAGTGAGACTTGTATGGAAATAAGGATTTGGCCAAAGCTACATGGAAGCTGCTGAAAAGACACAAAACAATCTTCTGTTTTCACAGCCATGTCAAAACAGGCTGTGAAAGTTAAACCCAGAGAGTGGGAGTAACAGAGCATAGCAGAGGAGTCTGCAGTCCTGGGATTGTTCAAAGACAAATGGTCAAAAACTCTCTGTGTACGTCCACAATCATGTAATGTATAATAAAATACATCTTCCTTTTGTTCTAACAAATGACAAATGGAAGAGGAGACATATATATATAAAATTCCCTTCTCACCCACCGCGGGTGGTTCTTATCCTCTGAACTCGGGTCCTCTACCAGAGGCCTGGGAGCTTGAGGGTTCTGCGCAGTATCTTGGCTGTGCCAAGGACTGCACATTTCTGGACTGAGATGTCTGATGTTGTTCCTGGGATCTGTTGTAGCCACTGCTCCAGTTTGGGGGTTACTGCCCCGAGGGCCCCGATGACCACAGGCACCACTGTGGTCTTCACCTTCCAGGCCCTCTCCAGTTCTTCCCTGAGGCCCTGGTATTTCTCTAGTTTCTCGTGCTCCTTTTTCCTGATGTTGCAATCACTTGGTATTGCTACATCTACCACAACGGCTTTCCTCTGATGTTTATCCACTACGACAATGTCTGGTTGGTTCGCCATTACCATTTTGTCTGTCTGGATCTGGAAGTCCCACAGGATCTTAGCTCTGGTGTTCTCCACCACCTTTGGGGGTGTTTCCCACTTTGATCTTGGGGTTTCCAGTCCATATTCTGCACAGATGTTTCTGTACACTATGCCTGCCACTTGGTTATGTCGCTCCATGTACGCTTTCCCTGCCAGTATCTTGCACCCTGCTGTGATGTGCTGGACTGTCTCAGGGGCCTCCTTGCACAACCTACACCTTGGGTCTTGTCTGGTGTGGTAGATCTGGGCCTCTATTGCTCTGGTGTTTAGGGCCTGTTCCTGGGCTGCCAGGATGAGGGCCTCTGTGCTGTCCTTGAGTCCAGCTTTTTCCAGCCATTGGTAGGATTTACTGATATCAGCCACTTGGGTTATTTGCTGGTGGTACATCCCATGTAGGGGTTTGTCCTCCCATGATGGTATCTCTGGCACCTCAACCTCCGTTCCCTGTTGTCTGAGACATTCACTGAGCACATTGTCTGTTGAGGCTTTGTCCCTGATGTATTTATGGATCTTAGTTGTTTCGTCCTGGACAGTGGTTCTCACACTCACTAGTCCTCTGCCTCCTTCCTTGCGGCTCGTGTACAGTCTCAGGGTGCTGGATTTGGGATGGAACCCTCCATGCATTGTTAGTAGCTTTCTGGTCTTAATATCTGTGGCTTTTATCTCCTCCTTTGGCCAGCTAATTATTCCAGCAGGGTATCTGATTACTGGCAAGGCATAGCTGTTTATCGCACGGATTTTGTTCTTGCCATTGAGCTGGCTTCTCAGGACTTGCCTTATTCGTTGGAGGTATTTAGCTGTGGCTCCTTTCCTTGTGACCTCATCGAGGTTGCCATTTGCTTGTGGTATACCTAGGTACTTGTAACTGTCCTCTATGTCTGCTATTGTTCCTTCTGGGAGTGAGACCCCTTCTGTGTGGATGACCTTCCCCCTCTTTGTGACCAGCCGACCACATTTCTCTAGTCCGAATGACATCCCAATGTCAGTGCTGTAGATCCTGGTGGTGTGGATCAGTGAGTCGATGTCTCGCTCACACTTGGCGTACAGCTTGATGTCATCCATGTAGAGTAGGTGACTGATATTGGCCCCATTTTTGAGTCTGTATCCGTAGCCAGTCTTGTTGATAACTTGGCTGAGGGGGTTCAGGCCTATGCAGAACAGTAGCGGGGACAGAGCATCTCCTTGGTATATGCCACATTTGATGGACACTTGTGCAAGTGGTTTGCAGTTGGCTTCAAGGGTGGTTTTCCACAGCTTCATCGAGTTTGCAATGAAGGCTCTCAGAGTCCTGTTGATGTTATACATCTCTAAGCATTCAATGATCCAAGTATGCGGCATTGAGTCATAGGCTTTCTTGTAATCAATCCAAGCCATGCACAGGTTGGTGTGTCGGGTTTTGCAGTCTCGGGCAACTGTGCGGTCTACGAGGAGTTGGTGTTTGGCTCCTCTGCTATTTACACAGATATATATATATATATATATATATATATATATATATATATATATGTATATATAAAACATATTTGTTAAAACTATCACTGTGTTGTGATAGTATAATATGAGAATATGAAATAAAAAGCTCCTCTGCCTTCTCTCTCTGGTTCTGTTGTGATCTGAACCTATACACAGCTCTGTTAGAAACGACCAATCAGAGCCAGGAGGAGGGTCTTAGCGCTGTCAATAAATATTTCTCTCTGCTACGCTACAGCTAGTTCACCGCAGTAGAGCCTGCCATGAATGAGAGTACATGTAAATCCAACCTTGATAGCTGCAGCTATCAAGGTTGGATTTACATGTTTCATTGTGAGATCAGGCTACTGCAGCAAGATGAACACGCTGTAAGGCTGTGACTCATCTTTATTCAGCGACTGTGCTCAATTATTCATCAGCCAAAGCAAAGTGATGTTTGGTAAAGGAAAATAACAGGGACTCAAAGTGTGAGGATGAACTTCATTAACCAGCATGCTTTTAAGTACAGCCACATCAAATGACTGGACTTCAATTGGACTTTCCCCTTTTTTAATTGTTTAAAAAAGGGGAACGTTATCCTCCAACCTCACAGCAGCCTCTCTCTCCTGACACTCGTCCTTTCACTTCATCAGTTTGACCTGACGACAGGCTGGGGTCACTGGGAGGTCACGTCCACTGAAACAGAGCCACGGACGGCCCAGTGTGGCCTGACCGCTCATCCTGCCTTCTGAAAAACCATAGAGGTTTAAGCTCTAAGTACTGAGTTTCAGATTTTTAAACCAGTGGAAAGACAGATGATAATTTCCAAGGCATTTAAACCGGTTTGATAATAAGAATATTTAGAAATAATTGGAGAAAAATCTAATCTTTACACCATTTTTAAAAAAATGCAAGAATAACACTCCGGGAGCTGATAATGGCACTAAAATAAAAGTGCCAAAAAAATAAAAGAAAGCAATGATAATTATTCAAACTCATTTAACAAAAGGACTTCAGTTCCAGATAAAAAATTCTAAATAACATGTATATATATTTCTATACATTCAGAATTACTATTTGTATATCTTAACACTCGAAGAAAACAGGATGAGAATAAATGTCTTTTGAAAATAATCTGTGTTGAACTTCCAGCTTTGTTAGGATCCCTTGTTTGTATATTTTCCATGAGCTGCTATAACATTTGAAACATTCATCTAGTTAGTTTTTAGTTTGCAGACTTCCCACAAATTGTGAAACAACAAAATGCTGAGGTCGGACCCGGTCGGACCACCCAGTCGGACCCGGTCGGACAGTACGGTAGAGAGGTCAACGGACTGGAACAGCCTCCATTACAAACAGATAACTCTTTATTTGAAGGGCAGTGCATGAGACTGACATGACTCTGTAATAAACATGGATCATGAACATGCAGAAGTCTTCATGAATGTTTATGAGAGTTGTCGTTTAGTGTTTTTTGGTAAAAAAAAAAACGGACTAAAAAGTTGCATTAAAAGTGAATTCAAAGTGTCAACTTTGCATTAAAAGTATCACTATTTACCAAACAATACTTCATGAGAGCAGTCATAAATATTCATGAAGACTCCTTCATCTTCATGTCATGTTTATGACAATGTTATGTTAGTCTTACGCACGCCCCCTCGAATAAAGTGTTACCAAACGGACACTTTAAATCATATTAAAGTTCAAAATTTCCCTGAATGTGATTGTGAAAATTATAGAAAGAAAAAAGCTTGATCCAGTCAGAATGAGGATTTTTTTGGGGGAAAATCATTCTACATTTTTTTTCCCCCCAGGATTTCCACAAGTCTTTGAACGCCTCGTTAAAATCTGGAGCACAGACTGCTGCAGCGCGGTTGGAAACGCACAATCCTCACCTGGGCGCCTCCTGGAGGAGAAGCTGGAGGCAGGTGAGACCCCCGTTGGCTGCAGCGTAGTGAGCTGGTACCGCTCCACAGTTTGTCTGAGCGGTGGCCACTCCTCCAACCGACAGGAGCCACTCGGTCACCTCCACACGGCCAAACCGAGCTGCCAGGTGAAGAGCCGTGGCTCCCGCCGCGTCGCCGTCCTGGAAAAGAGTCACAGAGACCTGATGAAGATGACAGGAAGGATCGAGGGGATGTGCTGCTTTCCAGAGCTGCGGCACAGAATGCTATTACTGTTAATAAGCATATAATTAGCTCTTAATTTGAGTCGATACAGTTTCTAATTCTGGAGGAAAAGAAACAAATAAAAACTTAATTGTGCAGTTGTTAAGAACGTTTAGGAGGTGGCTTCGCACCCAACATCTGGGAATAATTTCTACTTGCTACTGCTGAAAGTGGCTCCACAGGAAGTCGACACATAATACATAATCAGCAAATACATTAATAAAGAAAAATTCATGTGCAGTACTGATTACAACCTGCAGCCATGAAACAGATTTTTAGGATACAAGTATTAAAACGTACAAACAAGTACTAATACAATAACATGTTAAATTATTAAAATTGTGTCTCTAACCAACACAAAATTGAAATATGGTTTTCAAAGATTTCTACAAACAAAAGTCTAAAAACCAACTCATAGCAGCTTCACTGTCTCCACAGCATGATGCTGACACCACCATGTTTTACAGTCATTCAGGTTCTCGTACTTTTCCCCAATACTTTGTATTTCTTCATGCGATGGATTGAATTTGTACGCCGTTGTTCTACGATAGTGGTGGAAAACATGCCCTCTCTTGAATATTTGTTGTGTTCCTTCATGATGCCGTTTGTTCTCTAATGAAACTCCGAGGCCTTCACTCAACAGCTGGATTTCTACTGAGATTAAATAATGCGCTGGGTGACTTAATTTAGAAATTAGATGACTTCTGAAGACAAGTGGTCATACTAGTTTTTATTTAGGAGCATCAGAGTATTCGGAGAATACAAATGGAAGCTGCACTTTGTATTTGTCATGCTTTGTGTTGGTCTGAATAGAAAGTATTGATCCATTTCCACTGATGTGACAGAATGTGAAAAAGTTTCAAGAAACTCAGTCATTTTGCAACGCACTTTGTGTCAAGGGTTAAGATTAAGGAAATGGCCATAATTTACTTTTGAAGCTGACAGAAACGAACATTTATAAACACACAGGTATTGATATGGTAATTAATGCAGTTCATGGGTAACACTAAATTTAAAAAGCTTTAAAAACATTAACAAAAGCTGTAAGTTCTTACAGAACAGTTTAAGCGGAACCAGGAATAGTGAAAAAGATGAAGAGAGCAGAGAAGCTCTTGGCTTACAGCATCTCAGATTAAACCGCACAGTGACCTTTGGCCCCTGGGTCATGAGCTTCACCAGTGACAGTAAACCCTCACAAACACGGGACACGACCTGAGCTTTAGGGGTAGCACACCTTCAGTCACGGATATTTAACTATGTAGCAATGACAGAGAGGCCCTGATCAGTGTTCTTCAGTTATTGATCATATCCGGAGCGCAACTGATAAACACAGAATTAGAAATGACTTTTCCATCAGGACTTCGGGGCCCATAAGTACATATCCCGGCTTGAAGCTCATACTGAGTTCCTCTTCAAGTCTTTTCTTTCTAAATGCTGTAACTGGACATACCTGCACGCTGCAGCCTCCTCGCTGCACGAGCCACCGCAGCTCCCGGATGTTACCGGTGGCTGCCGCGTCGTGCGCCGCCGTGGCCCCGTTGGAGGCTCGTGAGTCCGCAGGCAGCCCGAGGTCTTTCACCAGGAGCTGCAGGCAGTCCAGGCGTCCACAGCGGGCGGCGTGGTGAACCGGGCCCGCACCCTGGTTGTCGCAGATAGCAGGTGAGAGCTGACCGGAAGATGCGAGAGTCCTCAGAGCTGCGAGGTCTGCGTCTCGAGCCGCCTGGATGGCCCGGTGCGGCACCATGCTCAGCTTAACAGTTTCCTGGAGCACCGAGAGTCACCATCACACTACATGCTGCCCTCGCCTCCTCCTGAGCCAGGAAAGTGACACCCTGACAGCAGCCAGCTGGCCAGCAGGGCTGCCGAGGAGATGGAGGCGGGTGGGGCTGATAGAGGAGTAATGACAGACGGGTGGAGGCGCAGCGCGCGCGCGGCCTCCTGCGCCAGCATTGTCTGGCGGCGGCCATATGCTGGAGCTGCAGCCGCAGCCGCAGCACGGCTCAGTGGAGACGATGGGGGAGGAAAGGCAGCACGGAAACTTAAGTAACGGGAGAAGTCAGGATTACAATGAGGTTTTTAAGGGTTATTTTAAAAATTCATCACAGCGTTGGAATAATGAATACAGGTGACCCATCTGGAATGGTGGAATCTACATTAAATATCAGTCTGCAGCTTCAAGGGAAGGGAGCTTTACAAGCAGCTCGTGTGGCACAATAGTGCCTTCATTTTTCCATAACATCACCCATGAGGCCAGGCCAAGTTCCCCCACTTTATTATTTATATTAAATATCTCATAATCTTACAGGATCAAGTTTGGTGCGCGTGTCGCTGCACATCTTTATTTGACTCTCTTTAGTGCAAAAGAAAAGGGGTCAGTTCATTTGCTCCAGGACCTCCACCGTCTCCCTGAGATCCTCCACGACAGCGTCCACGTCTTCTTTGGTCGTCTCCCGACCCACGCTCAGCCTCAGAGCGTTAGCCGCCACCTCGGTGGGGACGCCGCAGCTCAGCAGGATGTGGGAGGGCCTGGCAGACACGGAGAACATGGAGGTCACCGCGCAGGAAAACCAGTGGGGTGAAGGAAGGAGGCTGGAGCAAGAGGTCAGCCGCTCATATCATGGCTGCAGTGGCACTTATGCTGCAGGAATACACACACTTCTGTGACAGCAGTCATGACTTCTGTGCCAGCTCATGTGGCAGCTGCCACAAACATTGTGGCACCTGCCTCAAAAGCTGCAGGAGCCGTCACCAAAACGGCGCAGAAGCCACGTCGCCTGCCACAAAGCTATCGCCAACAAGCTGCAGAAGCTTCCGGCAGCCGACACTGTAAGAGCCACTACAACTGCCACTGCCACAATTTGAGCTTGCCGTCTCTCCTCCAGTGGTAAACAGCTAAGACTCTTATACCTGTGTCCGCTGGCGGAGTGGCAGGCGGCGCCGACGCTGGCCAGCAGCCTCCTGCAGTTTGACAAAACCCTCCAGCCTAAAGCGGGCGGAGAGATGAATCATTCAGCGGCTCGCTGGCTTACAAGCAGCTCTGACAATCATCAGCGTAGGGTTAGAGGACACTGTTTGGGCTGACACGCCAAAACAGACACGGGGACAAAGACACATTACCTTGCAACACCGGGCCCAAGATGGACACGTTACATGTGTTAGGGAGGACATCAGAGCCGGGATAATGACTGTTGAAGCGGATCTTGTCTCTAAAGACATCCTGAGGCGGAAACAGGGGATTGTGGTTTAAGTTGATGAAACGACATGCCTCGTTTTCACATTCCCTCTGTCACCGCCCTACCCATTTCATTTACACCGACTTTTCTTTCACTGGAGACAAAATGAAGCCCAAATGTTCCACATTTTAAATCTTCAACCTCGTGTGTTTCAGAAAATAGGAGGTACAATGATTTCTATGTTTCAAGAAAAGTTGATATTCTGAAAGCATTTCTTTGAAATACTTTTGTAGTTTCCAATGCTGTCGTCTGTATTTTATCTCTTTTTTTTCCTGTGGGTAAGTACAGTAATGTTGCCCTGATAACATTGGTTAATATTTTCTTGTTTTGAGTTATTAAAGAGAAATAGCATCAGCCAAAGCTAGTATTGGAAGGTCAAAGCCTCATAAAACAGAATTCACTCCAATTTGTTCATCTCTATGCGCCAAGACTTCCTCCATTACTGATCCACATCATACTGTCCTTATTGTCCATTTGATTCCAGAGCACTAAGTTGAAGCCTTTTGATTTGTGAATGAACCTCTGGACTGTAAAAATCACTTTTGCAATTAGGAACTGAAAAACCCTTTTTACCTTTAAAAAAAAAAAAGCAATAGAAAGGTACAGAACTTGGGTTTGTATCATGTGCAGAAAAAGTAAATGTGTTTGGAACCAAAGCGTCTCTATTAGGGGAAACGCTTACCTGCAGTCGTTCTTCCAGATACGCTTTAATAATCAGCATATGACTCTGATAACTTGAGAGATTAGCGGTTACCAGCTCTGCAGCCTGACACAAACACAAACAAAAGGATCCTGTTACAAACAGTTTCTGTTCTACAGAGGCAGCGCATTAAACTTTAGTGATCTGTAATGTACGAGGCGCTGAACATAAACGACCTTTCCCAAGCCGGCTATCATTGGCGTGTTCTCCGTGCTGCAGTATTGATGAAGGAGCGGGGCAGGGAAAAAACAAAATAAATTCATATTTAGATCTGTAGGATTCTTATTTTTGATCTTATTTCAGAGTTTCCTGGATAAGACATAACCGGGCGTACCCTGGTCTGAAGTTCCTCTCCTGTCCTCCTCCAAACAGCATCGGATACAGAGGCGTCGTTGTTCCAGGGCCGTTCACGTACAACGCTCCGACACGAGGGGCGTAGAACTGAAACGTTTATATATGCACATGAAAAAAGAACAACACATTTTAGAAAGAGTTTTTATGCTAAATTTTTTAATATGCAGAACTAATTTCTGACCTTGTGTCCGACTATGGTAAGGTAATCCACTCCCAGTTCCTGGACATCCACTGGGATTTTGCCCAGCGCCTGGGCAGCATCTGTGTGCAGCAGGATCCTGAGTCGCTCGTGCTGCTTGTTGAGGGATTTTACTCTTTGGCAAATCTCTGGGATTGGCTGAAAAGACGAATGGCGTTCAGCGTACAGGAATGGGTTTTACGGCAATCCAAACATTGAATCTTTACAAGTGGAAAATGGTTTTCAGAACAAGAAAGACCAGGCCAAGAGGCTTTTCAAGCTTTTTTTATTCCCCCCCCCCCCATTACCATGACGACTCCCGTCTCATTGTTAGCCAGCATGACAGAGACGAGGCAAGTGTTTGGACGCACGGCCGCGATGATATCCTCCGCCTCGACGCGAGCTGTCACCTTAGAAACGGGCACACATGTTACATCTACGACGGAAATAACAAGAAGCAGATTCACCTCAGTGGTTGAAGGACAGACTCTTAAAAAAACAACAACAAAAAAAACATCCCGGAGTAAACGTGATCCCCCACCTGCCTTCCCGGCCCCCTGCAGGTTCTTGGCCGTGAGCCGGATGGAGTCGTGCTCCACGTTGGAGGTGATGATGTGCGGCAGGCCGGTGCAGCCGTTCTGACGGCCTTCGCCGTGCTCCGCGGCGCTGCGGCTCTTCCTGAAGTGCTCCATGGCCGTGTGCAGCACCAGGTTGTTGGCCTGCGGGACCGACCATTTGCTTTAAAGCAGAGCTGAGAGCTGAGAGCGGGAGACGACCGTTTTCTACAGCAGGAGTCGTTACCTCCGTTCCCCCTGAGGTAAAAACAATGTCCTCTGCTTTACCCCCAACCATTCTAGCCACGTTCCGCCTGGACTGGTTGATGATGGCTTTGGCCGTGACACCTGGAAAAACCACATTGCCAAGTCTATAGTAAAAATATTCAAAAATAGACTCAGACTTTTTTTCTCATTATCTATGAGATAAAGCTTCTGTTTTGAACCAAAACGAAGATATTTCACACCTAATATGTGGTTGCTACTGGGGTTTCCCCAAGCCTCCTGGAGAGCTTCAGAAATGACCTGAATCACCTCCGGCTCCATCGGGGTGGTGGCATTATAATCCATGTAGATCCTGTCAGATTAACAACTGTTAAACACCGCAGTGCAAAAGTATTCAAAACCGTTAAGTAGGCCTGTGGCAATAAGCAATAAATCTAAATGATTTGCATGACTTATTTGTTTTCCTTTCTTTCTTTCTACCAAAAACTGGATGGCCAAACTCTTCAGCCTGGTGCTTTTGGTCTCTCAGCCTTTTTCCTGAACAAAGTTTCTTAATTTTGTTTTCAGAGACTTCATAATTCATTTTATGTGTCGTTTCTGTTATTTTGATTGTTTGTTTTGGAAATGTAAAATGTCTTCCAGTTACAGTGTTAAATGTTTATTAGAATTTCAAGTTTATCTTTGAGAAATGTGTTCTTGCATTGTTAATCCATCAGCGTCATACGACTTAAAAATGCTCTCAAAACAATATTATTGTTTATCGCAATAATTTCTGGGACAATTTATTGTCCAGCAAAATGTGTCATTGTGAATTACTGTTTTCACACTTTTGTCACCTCACGACTGCAAACTTCTGTGTATTTTATTTGGTTTGAGGGAAACAAGAACACAAAGCTGTGCATAATTGTGAAATGAAAGGAAAACTGCAGATAGTTTCAGAATTGTTTGTGTGCAATAACTTGAAAAGCATGCATTCTTGTCCTCCACTAATGCAACACCCTGTTATAATTCAACTGGAGCAGTTCATTCACGGCTAAGGCCTCCTCACCTTTCTGCATTCATGTCCAGATTGTGATGAAGGTCGTGGTCGTTGTGGGTGTGACCCACCACCAGGGTCAGGTCAGCCAATTTCTCCGCCATTGCTGCAGAAACAGCAGATAAAACCGAGATGCATAATGAGCCTGAAAGCACGTAAAGCATCCAGACGGTCTGGAAACCCACAGAGCTAATCCTGCTGCAGAGCGAAGTGTTGGAAAGCTTCTAACTAACACAGTCCTGCAGCGTGAGACGTAAAGCGAACATTGTTTGGTGAGAAACAGCGCTGCTCGTCAGAGGGAACAGCTGTTCTCATTAGCATGTCCGTCATTAAGTTTCTGACCCAAACGCTGCTGCTTTCTGCGCCCGTTTTTACGCCTCATTCTGAAAACTGAAGTCCCAACAAAACTTTTTGAAACACCGCATGTCTTATATTAGATGGTTCCTGTCAGCTAGAGTTGGCAAACAATCACTTAAGCGCACCGAGAGCAACTTCAGCTAGCTGGTTTAGCTAACTTTTTTTTACTGCCGGGATTAACTACCGAGCATCCGACCGAGAGCCGCCACACCGGGACAGACATGGAGGTTAACAACCAGGACAGGAGTCCGACGTCTTGTCTCACCTCGCAAAGCCTCCCGAGGAGGCAGCGGGGAGATTTACTGTCGACTTTATCAATCATTAGCTTGCTAGCTAGTGTGTGGAACTGACAGCTCGCGACTCCCGCATCTTAAAGCCGCATAAAGAACCAGCAGCTTCACGCGACCATCGAGTCTGAGCGTCCAATACTTAGAAAATAAACTAAACAAAGTGTGCAATTATTTTAGAGCTCCGAAATCTTTTACCTGCTGACGTGAAGGTCCAGAGGCTGGATTACACACCACGTCACCCGATTTGAATGACGTGCTGGATGAATGAGATGACGTCAGAGAGAAACACACGGAGTCACTCAGAAATGAGACAAATTGGGCTGGGCTTTTTTTTTTTTTTTTTTTTTTTGTCTACTTCATTCAGACTTTGTAAAACAAAGGATACATTGTTGCATCTTTTTGGATACAACAATGTATCAAATTAATTTCAGCAAACATAACAGAATCTCCTAATGGTTTATAAAGTGCTATAACAGAGAGCTGCCAGCTGAATGACGTGTCAACATGGATGCATACGGACTGTATGCAGTACTGTTGGAACAGTACACTATCACTGTCCCAACAGTCATATTGGTAAATCATTTCAGAATGCAATATTTATTGGTTGTAATGTTCCAGATAGAAATACTACGCTTTGCTTGCCAGTGATAGATTTGGTCTGGCTATCGAGTAGATGCACACACGCCCAATATGCAACAAAAGAATGTCCCATTCCTCCCTCTTTGCAAATCTACTCTAAACCAACCAGACCCACAATGTTTGTCCGGTGTTGCTAAGGACAGCACATAGGAAGAAATTAATGTAAACAAAAACAAATGAACTCCGTTGAGGGAATGAAATCCAAGATGATGTTGCAAATGATGTTTTAGAACCGCATCTAAAATCTGGACCAAGCACAAACGAAGTCATAAGGCTGTAAAAAGGGAAGACATCAAAGCATTGGGCTTTGAAAACAGAATACGTGCGGTGGGATCAGTGGAAGACGAATGGGCAAAAACTGGAGTGATTGATGTTTGGCTGAGATTTCTTTCCAGACAGAAGAACAGATGGTTCCAGTGGGCCAGAGAGAAACAATCGTAGGTCCTGGAAGACTCGATGAAAGCAGGTTTTCCGTGATAAATCCTGAATCTGCTTTGGCCAAGGAAGACGAGGCTGGAACATTTGTTTGGTCGCGTCCCAATGAAACATATGAAGACAGCCTGAGAAAACAAGGGCTTCACCATTGGCTTCAATGATTATGTAACCGTGTCAGGTACAGTAGGACAAGTGGACAATAAGACTCCATCCTGCATTGATAAATATTGTTTTTCTCTCCAAGTCAAAATGTTAAGTGGTCGTTGTGAATTGTACATCATTATTCTACAATGTTGTACGGTTTAGTTTAAAAAGACCCCAACTAAAGTACTAAACCAGACCCAAAGTTATACATTATAAAAAACAAACGAGTCATTGCTTAGTGTTGCATCACTTCCAGATTTATTTAATATATGACAATGTGTTCAGTGTACACAAACATCTGACAGGAAACTCAAACAAACACTCAGACACTGACTGAACTACTGCCCATTTAGGAGTTTAATGAGTGCAACCATATGATACACAGTCCACGGCAATCATGTTTATATACAATGCAAAAATCTTTGAAGAACAATGGAATGTATTGGTGCAAAAAAAAAAAAAAATAGACGTGGAAGCACAAGAATGTGAGATTACTTCACGAGGGAAGGGCTGGAAAAGAGAGGTTGGTGATTGTGTGTGAAGGATGAGGATTGATTCCGATACTAGAAAGAGGGTGACGGCAAAGCAACCAAGAGCATTACTTTCTACAAGACATAAAAGTTTAACTAGGCCACAGTGAACCATAATCGTCCCACACATAAGCAGACAGATTATTACATGGCGGGTCTCAGAGTCTCTGCATACATCCCCGATGATGACCGCCTTACAATCAGTGAGGAACCCCAAAGCAGAAGGTTCAGAAAAACATTGAAGCAGAAGAATTCCTATATACCATTATTATTATTATACATTCAGAGTGAACTTTTAAGTGAGTGCACCAACAAAACTTTGGTTGCTTTAAAAAAAAAAAGTCAGTAAGATCAAAATCAATCAAACAATTACGTACAGGTTGACTGTTAGGGCTTTGAAATAAAACAACGCAATGCAGAGTTCTGAGTAAAGTACAAACAGGAGAGCGTTCACCCCAGGACAAAGGTGGATAAAAAGCACAATGATTCTGTTCAGAAGGTGAGCCGTGAGATTTGAACGCCAATTCAAGCTAATTGCTGATTTATTACGACTACCAACAGTTGTGCAGGTGAGAAGATCAGTCAACCGAATGAGCCAAAATATTTCCACACCACACAAGACTGTTAACATGTCAGGTATTGGATGAATCACATCTATAGAAAACACACAAACAAAAGATGCCATGTTTGCAGTTGTCTAATCGCTCCTAAAATGCCATGTCGTTAGGCTGGTTGCAACTGTTCTCTGCTTTTAGATGTCGTCCCTGCAGTCAGTTGACAAACTGAGCATGCTCCGTAGGCTGGCTGACCTGAGGCATGCGAATCCACCAGAGTCACCGAACACCTCACGACCTGAGTGGCGTTGGGACACGTTAAACCTCAGCTAAAATATACCACAAAGGAATAAAACCCGAGTAGAAACGAAGCAATTAAAGCTACAGGTGAGTTGCATTTGAAACATTTTGCATGTCGCATTAAGAAGTAGAGCCCTATGCAAGCTGGCAATCCTGAGATATGCTGAATCTCTTCCAAATATTTGAACATTTTGTCTCAAATGCATATAATAAGACGACGAAAGAAAACAAAGTGATTATGTGACGTGCAGACGTTTCCCGAACATGATTACAGCAGCGCGAAGGAGGTGAGGTTAAAGAAATTGGTGCAGAGGCAAACTGTGCAGAATGTTAAAAAAGAGGCACTACACTTAATATACACATCATTCAGAAAGCCAGTTTCATATGTGCTGTGAGGATCCACCGTTTTCCCATTTTAGGAGGGACGACAAGACCGACTTAATATCAAAAACGTTACATGGGTCATCAGTTGGGTCAAAGGTTAAGCTATCCTAATCGTTCAGGGTTGTTGTATTTTTCAAGTTTTCTTCAGCACAAAGAAACCGAGCGCGTTACTAGATTATTTTAAAAGAGAAACCGTAGGGATGAGGCTTTTATTATTCAAATGGTTCAGGAACTCATTAAAAAGTGCCATGTGCAGAAATTGCACTGAGTACTACTTTAGAAATATAAACGTCTTTGTAAATAAATACATGCGGAAATAAATAATTAGGCTGTTAGAAATCTAAATATATCACTTTTCAAACACAAGTCAGAGAGAAAGAAACCATACTGGGAGGAAAAGAAGGTGGAGATGTTTGAGTCTGTCATGTGGATGTAAAATACCCTCATACCCTAAATGTTATGGATTCACAGGCTGCAGTTTGAGGAGGTGCCATGTTGTTGCCCCACTGTGTGTGCTTAAGTTTGATGTTGAAGAAGTTTGAGGGTCTATTTTTTTCAATTAGTTTCATTTCAGCTTTTATTTTTCTGACTGTCAAGGTTAAACCAGTTGAAACTTTATGTTTAGCAGTAAAGTAGAGCAGAGAGGAACCTCCATGTTTTCCTATTTTACCGATGCAAATGTAGCGATGAGAGCTTGGCTAGTAGTGCAGAGGTGGCATTATTAAAGAATACATGTCCCTGTGTTGTTTGCGTTACTTTAAGTAATAAATGAGAAAGGCTTGATGTGTCACTGACAACAACTACAGCACGCTTATCGTACAAATGGAGTCTGGCGTGAGAAACCGCTGCCTCCTCCGTTCTCAAGCTGTGAAATAATGCCAGTACAGTGCGACGACTGATTCTTCCAGGAGTTTCTTTGCGCGTTGCTAAGGCCCGACGGGAAAAACCAGACGGCGAGGACACGAACAACGGAACGGAGACTGAGCAGGGGGGAAGATGGCTGCCGCTGAACCAGGCTCAGCATGATGGGAATGAGGAGAACAGGGAAGTATGTACATTGTAGTCTTTGCATGTATCTTTTTTTTCCTCAAATCCTCATCTGTCCGGCTCGTCTTCTCGACAGCTTTGACCTGAGAGGCAAAACAAGGACAACTCATTCGTTTTCCTTCATTTCACCAGCCGTTAGGTCTTCTATGTTCCACAATGAAATGAATAAAAAGTTCAGCAGGTTTTTTATGCGGCGGTTCCTAATTTAGCAAGATAACTTACCTGATAGTTCCAGCAAGAAGAGGGTTGAACGCATAGAGCCAGTCATGCATTTCTTTGTCATTAGTGGCTTGAAGCAATATTCCACGATGTTCTGTACACACTGCAAACGTATTTGGAGTCTGTTGGGAGAAGCACAAACGTTTCTTACGGCATATATAGATGTGGCAGAGGAGAAATGTTCCTGGAGCCGCTGGCTGTAAGTGCGTCTAGCCCCTTAAAAAGCTCTTTCATACGCGACGCATTTCTTCTAAAAAAATGAGGTCTTGAATCCGACAGTCATCTTTAAGTCTTTACTGAACTTAAAAGGAAATAAAAACAAACAGATTCAAAACAAATAGAAAGTGAGGGTCCAAAGACTGTGCTACTCTCAAGGTGCCAGACTTCTACAAGCTTTTATCTTTTATAAACTAATTAGTCAATAACCAATAAAAAGGCACAATGTAATAAGCTTAAGCACAATACAATTACAGAAGCTTTTTCAAATAGAAGAGTAAAAAATTTAACTCACGTGAACACAAAATAACATTTTGTATTAAGTTCCAAAAATGTAAATATGGCTCCTGCACAGACCTTCAGCATGGCCTGCTGGTCCTCACTGTACTCCACCTGGGCGGAGGACAGGTTCAGAATGGCCCTCTCCACCGTGTCTCGCTCAGAGTTGTAGATGTAAACGTACGGCCGCCGCACAACCACGTAGCGCTTCACCCATCCGTTGGTGTGCGGCTCCAGGAAGTGGATGTAGCCCTTCTTCGATACGATTGGGCTGAAAAACATGAATTGTTACATGGGGGAGTGAAAAGATTCCCATTTGTAACTTGTTTAAGACTCCAGTTGCATAAAGAAATGTGATTTGGTTCACTAAGCTTCATGCAGTAGCTGCATATAATCATATTTTCAAAATTTATTTTTAGCCCCATTGAACAAACAGTGGAGAAGAAAAAAAAAGGAAAAATAAGCCTCCCGACAGTTTTGGAGGGTTTAAGCATCATTAACTGAACTTTATCATAATGCTAAATCTATTCATCATGATAAATGGTAAATGATGTGATGAATTCCCAGCCGCTACGTCAAGTCGAAAGATGAGACTGACCTGACTCTGATCTCCTGTATGTCAGGGATAAGTTTTCGAGTCCGAGGTTTCACATCAGAACCTACATTCATGGACTTTTTGTCCGCTCCGTCCTGCTGCGGTTCAGGACTGGGGCTGACCGCACGGGACAGAGGCGGAGGAGGTCTGAGGTTAAAAATAAAAACCAAACACAAAAATACAGAGTTAGACACCAAAACATAGAGTGGAAAATCACAAACAACCCCAGAGCTAGGACTAACTTGAGCTCAGTGTTGTGATAGCAACCCTCCACCAGAGAAGGGCATGTTGAGGAGGGTGTGATTGTGTTGAGAGGAGATATGGAGGAGGCGTCTCTCGGCAATGTGACAGACATCTCAGAGATCTGAAACACACACACACACACACCTCCAGATGTTTCAAACCGATCAGCAAACGGCGATCAAAGCTTTGTGACATAATTTAAACTCTACCTTGCTTTCACTGGCGCTGACACACACATGGCTGTATTCTCTGTTGAAGGAGTGAGTGAGCAGCCGCAAACACTGACAAGAAATAAAGAAATAAATGGAGGAATCAAGCTATGACACCAAACAAAGTGGATTGCCAACTATAGAATATTCACATTTCAAATATGGTTAAAATGCCCACAGAGCGCAGCGTGGCAGCTGACCTTGGCAGCGAGCTCCCTCTGCCTGTCGGTGGTTATCTCAGAGCTGGAAGCTGGGTCTGCCTCGGCCACCGCAGTGGACTCACTGGTCTCCTCGGGGACGCAGGACTGAAGGGACTCCTGGCCCGTCAGCATGGTGGACTCCAGTTTCTCCCTCAGCAGGAGGAAATGTTTGGTTTTCTCCACCTGAGGAGGAGGAAACATCAGTCACACCTGCACTGTGACAGAAAAACTCCTCAGTAACTTTTAGAAATGCCAGTGACAGAAACTACTAAAACGCTGCCGTCTTAAAACTGACTTTTGTTTAGATCAGTATGAGCTTTGCACAGATAGTTTTTCCACATCTTGGAGAGAGGGTGTCTTTAACATTATTTATGTGAAAGCAGAGTAGGGTTTGCCCCAGTGTATTAAAAGCCTGGCGGGCCTCCAGGCTTTACTTGTACCCCCTCCAGGCTAAGTATTGCTTATTTATTTAAGTCTTTTTTATATGTTTGCATTTTTTAAGACTATATAGTTGGTGTTCAGGCACGAATCATCTAATATTTCATGAAAACCTGCTTAAGGCCCCAAAAAGGGGCTGGTTTGTGATTGTTGTATGATAAAATATGATCTGAACGGGTTCAGTCTTTTTATATGCTTCAAATTAGAAAACACACTTCTCACTTTTGGGAAAGCACATATAAAAGTAATATTGGCACTTGCATCTTGGAGGAGACTGAGTTTCTCCAGCTCCCACTGGTGCTCCAGGATGAGGCTGTCACTGCGTGGCCTCCACCCAGCCAGGTTCTCCTCTCCACGGACGTAGGCCACAGAGGTGTCCAGCACTCGCCTGCGTCTCCTCTGCATGCCTGGTGCGAGGCAGGAGGGTCCGTTACTCATATCTGAACTGAACCTCAGCTGAGTGTTGCTGCCACACGGACATTTTTCTTAACTCTTACCTGGACTTCCAGCATCTGCAAGATGACACAAGCTGACCTCGTAAACTCCAGTTACTCGGTTTCTAGAAAAGAAAGAGGAATTCTCAGAGATTGCATTTTACTGCTCGGCTGCATATGAAGCGTGGGGGGGAATACTAGACCTCCACGGCTCTTTTATAGTTCGAAGCTTTTAATCTCACCCATCCGCTGCTCTCAGGCTCCCCGTACCGAAAAGGTTGCGGATTGAACGAGAGGCCGAGAGCTTAGTGTCCCGGGAGTAAAACACCATGCAGATATCTTTGGTTATGTATGCAGGCTGCGTGCAGTTCTCCATCTGCAGTTGATAAAAGAAGGGGGCTTTTAAAACTTTTTTTTTCTCTCTCTGCGGAGGAACTCAACGCCTCACATAAGATACGGCTGTGTTACTTCAGCCTCTTATAAATGCGGGCTCTGTGCTGTACCTCCAAATAGGCCGAGAGGGTCATGTAGATCTTCTCTCCGTACGGCGTGACTCGGTTCAGGAGCAGGGAGTTGTGCATTGAGCTGTCCCAAGCAGCCTCGAAGCGGTAAAAAGTCCTGAGACAGTCCAGGACAAATGCATAAGCATAAGCAGTCAAAGCCGACTTTTTTAAAAACACAAATAAAAAGCAGAGATGCACCAATCAAGAATTTTTTCTGTCTTATAGATATTTATGATTTTCCTTTACAATTGTCTTGATTCCTGTTTTGCCAGATTTCTGTCATTTTAGAAAGAAATACCATGCAAAAAAAAAAAAAAAAGCAACTGGTTTTTGACAGATTTTTAATTGAACGGAAATTAAATGAAATTACACTGCAAAACATCATCAAGTACTTTTGGTCTAGTATCTAGTGCAAATATCTTGGTTCACTGAATAAGACAGTACTAACTTATAGTTAATGTTAAAGTAGGAGCTTGTTTAAAATTAACTCCTTAATATTGATGGAAAAAGTACTTTGCAGAAAGATTGTTTCACCTATAAAAATATTTTTTTCATCAATATTTATCAATAACTTAAAACAAAAGTTAGTCTTATTTCAAGTGTACTAAGATATCTGCACTTGAAGCTAAACCCAAAATACTCGGAGTTTTAGTTGTTGCTGTGTAAACTATCCATTTTGATTGGTACATCTCTATCAAAAACATGCTGTCTGTAATGTCTAATGTGTGTAAACAAAAGATTATGGAAAAAAAAGAGACGTTTCAAGAACAAACGTATTTTATATATAAAAATATGCACTGAAATTTTGCTTTAAAAACCAAGGACATAACTGGTAATCATAACTAATTGAATAAAAACTATGTTAGAAAAGTCCAGACAGTATAAACAGCATCTCCAGGTCATCATAATGCGTTATATGACAGTTTTTGCATGCAACACAATCAAATGATGGACTTTGAGCAAAGCACCACAGAAAAGCAATTGAAAGCAGGAAGGAATGAGAGGAGGACAGAGAAAATGGGGGACAGAGCAGTGAAATACCTATGGTCAATTCCCAGGGAAATGCTGTGAGAAAGAAGAAATCAGCAAAAGAATAAAAAGTAAGAGTTAGGAAGTATGTCGAGGCTTTGCAGTTGTGTGGCTGGGATGGTGTTTGTCTTTCTCGTCATGATAACAACCCCACAGAACTCCTTGAATCCTGCGGACACTGCTGATCCGTCACACCGGATGACCACCGAGGTGGCCATTTTTACCCGAAGCGACAACATAGCCGCTTTCTGCTTGCGTGGATGATTTACTCCGTAGGCTAATGTACACAAATTTACCCGTCTACCTCAAGGGGAAATAATCACACACATGCTGAAAGCTGTAGCTGCTTTGGCCCGTGGCCCGGTGACTGCCTCGAATCTAAAAAAGATTATCCAAGCAAGAATTGTATAAGGAAACCAGTGTTTTCTGTAGGCCATAAAAGCCGGCTGAATAGGCTCTTCATGAGGTTCAGATGTTCAGCCTAGGCCACTCTTGGACTGAAATGACCTCGTGTTGAAGTGAACAATGCGTCACCCAGAAGACAGCAAACAGGCACGCACTGTTCTGGAGTAATGACAGCTCCGTGCTGCGGACACAGCAGGGAGGTGACCGAGTGCAGAGATTCCCCCTTCTGCAGCCGGGAATTAGCGCACGAGTGCATGCATGCATGCAACGATCCAAATAGTAGAAAAGCTGCCCGCTTACACTACAAGCAAGCAATTTCCTTTTTCGCGCCTCTCCATCGTGTGCTTCTCTGCTTTTTACTGCCCACTAAAAAAAATGCAGGAGCCAGCGCTGAAGTCATTTTGCTGGCAGAACATTTAAGAAGCGTTTGTTTCTGGCGTTTGGCAGCGTTTTCCCTGAGGTAACAAGAAGCATTTAAATATATCCACAACATTGCAGCAATTTGGACTACTGAGGTAATGGTTCAGAGGATTATGTTTGAATAGCTATACTGATGTATTGGAATTGATGCGATCCATATTACAGCAATTTACTTAGTGGTTGATTTGAGTCCTTGTTATATTCTGTGATGGGAAACGCTCTGGGTTCTGAGGTCGGCGTGGTGCTCGAACCAAATAATTTTATAGATGTCAAATTATGACATCAATGTCAGGATTAACTAGAGAGTTTTTCTCAGCTTCCTACAGAATTTTAAAAGTGGGTTTCTACCGCCCCCTATTGGATCTGACGGGTCCTCCACCTGTAGAAACAGATTTTTAAAAACGTAAAAGCTTGAGGACATATCCTCAAGCTTATAAAGTGTGCAAGTGCACCGCAATAAATTTTAACACCCGTAGTGTAATTTATTTATTTCCCTAAGTCACATGTAATGTAAGTAATTCAATTACTTACGTTAGCTGCATTTCCATTACAAATGTGCACTTTGTCATTATTACATTAATATTTAAAAAACATAATTTTACAGTAGTGGTGTTTCTATTAAATATGAAACTCAAAGTCACACATAAATCCAGTTGTTCATGTGATAAATCATTTAAAAAAACATGCCGTCATCATCCGTCAACTACTTTCTATTGTTGTGCCATTGGCACAAACTGAGAAACTGGATCTTTGATTTTAATCAGCAGTTACCCGAAATAATCAACATTACAAAAAATAAATGCCTGAAATATCACTGTATTTAAAGGGGCAGTAATATGTAAAATCTACTTTTGAGTTTCACATCATGTTACAATGTTGTTCCCTCATTAACATACATGGAGCTTTGCCTCGATTCATTCATGCACATTTACGAGTCTCCCATGGCAACCATTCACCTGTGCAAAACGCCTAGTTGGACCTAGCGCCGCCTTCAAGGACAAAGCTTTTCCTCAGAGCTGCAGTTAAGCTTCAGAGGTTCCATCACAGAGCAGCCCTTCTCCCATCCCCCACTCAGCTCCTTCAGACTAGTCAGCAGAAATTAGCAAACACCTGGTGGAATTACACGTCTGCTGAGCTTGTTATACAGCTAGTTCTCAGTGCATCGCTGGTAAAAACTTTGTTAAAGTATTAATAGGTGTGATGTAATGAAGTCAAATTTGATATAAATGGCATTTTTAACAACTGAAGTTAACAGTTACTTAACTAATATGGCACTATGTATCTGGAAAACACATACTGCCCCTTTAATGAATTAATGTAATATGAATTTTATATATATATATATATATATATATATATATATATATATATATATATATATATATATATATATATATATATATACACACTGAATGAATAATTTATTCTTTAGGAGATGCACCTGTAAATTAGTATCTACACTCAACCAGAAAAAAATATTTTTAATAAGGTGCTATGAAAGCTTGCGATACTGTAACATATTTACTGTCTAAAAGAAAAAGATTTCCTCCGGACTTTGTGCTGTTAGAGGTTCTTGGAGCAATAGTTGGTGTGGAGACAGTTTGATGTCCCCATGACACCTCCAGCAAAGACACAGCCGGGAACGTTAAGCAAAGCAGAGCCATGCAGACCCTGTCCTTCCATAGCGGCTAACGTCCAACACCGGCCCAAACACACATCCAAGCACAGCAAGAGCAAGAGACCTGGGAACATGCAGGGTCACATCCTTCACCCCTCATGAACGGAAGGAAACAAAAGGGAACAGAAAAACTGCTGGAAGTCATGAGAGAGCGAAGGCGAGTAGGGAACCAAATCACAGGTCGACTAGAGAGATGGCTGGGTGTTAGGAAGGTTAGAGAGATGTGGTGTTGGTGTAACTTAAGATCATGAAAACAGAGGCAAATAATATACCTAGGCATGTCCGAATCAAGAAACTGTCTGCAGAGCAAAACAAAAAAGCAAAACAACAAAAGAACAACATTCTGTTAGTGTACTGGAGGGAGAAAATGTTAGCATTCATTTGCACTTTGATTTTTATCCAAACAAGACAACAAGTGGAATCTCAAGTGCAGTTTTAAATCACCAAAATTAAACTAAAACTACAAATTAAAAGTACTTTTTCATCAATATGGATCTCTTACTTTTAGTTGATTTTTTTTACTTTTCTTTTGGAAGATGGGAGATTAAGGAGTTAAATATTACATTTATTTAAACGGTTTTAAAAAAAAATAGGTCAGGCATTTTTTTCTATCTCTCACAACTTTCTCTAATGTGTCCTTGTCCTATACACTGATACAGAGAATAATTCTGAACATGTAGTATTTGCTTTTTTTTTTTTTTATTGTATCATTTAAGATTTATCTGACCCATATAAGGTTAGTCATTTGTTAATGTAAAAAACAATTATTTCAAATTGTGACAAATGTTAACAACTCTGGAGCTTTCTTCTTCTCATTAAGTTAAAATCTGTACTTTATTCAGATCAGTTTTAATGCTGACAGCTCCTGCATTTATCATAGTAAAAATGTATCAACTCTCACTGTAGGGAGTCTTTAGAGACATCTGCTGCCCTCTTGTGGCCGTAAATCACATATGAATACTTAAATGGTCATTAAAGCACATGGATTTCTCTAAGGTACAGTGGATTATGAGAAAACATCACCATATATTGACATAATAATAACTCCTAGTCTTTGAATGCCAGGATTTAACATGGTGTAACATGATGTCATGGTGGAATGCTCTAAAGATTGAATGAATGTTTTCATTATAAATAAATATGAATGCTTGTTAAAGTTGCAGTACATTTCAATGATTATTAAAACTGTCACTTGTTGTGACAAAATGGCACCAGACAGACAATCTCCACCTCCTTCCTGAGCAGCTACTGTATTGTGTAAAAATGCATCATTCCCAGTCAAAAATCAACCAATAACAGCCAGGAGGAGGGTCTTAGTGCTGTCAATCAACCTCCCATATGCTGCTAAACTTGCTAATGGTGGGAAAACACCTTACTGTTCCATAAAAACTGTTGTACGTCGTCATTGGTGGCAGCTGTTGTGGTGAACCAGCTGTTTTAGCAAAGTTAAAGTGGAAGGGCTTGAGCATGAGAGTGATTGGCAACGCTAAGCTTTAATTGGTTGCTTCTGACTGAGCGGTGTATTTCTGAAGCTAAAACTGGGAGAAGGCAGATTAGAGCAATTTCTTTTTACATATCTGTCTTTTACACGACATAATTATAATTTAACAAATATGTAAAAATATTTTTCTTAAAAAGTTACATAAGGATTTGTGGTATTAGGATATTCACTGCACAGCTTGAGTTTAATAGATACATAATTGAGACACAACAGAAAACCTGACAAACACAGAGAGAGGCTACATGTAGGTGCGATGATGAGGCACAATTCAACACCAGGGAGGGTCACACAGCCAGCTGGGTTCTGGGTAATCCTCTCTACTCTTTCTGCTGGGGCTGGAGGTTTAGTCTTTTTTTAAAAAAATCTGTGGTATTGCAAGTTAATTCATGCAGACAGAATAATAAAACTGTTTTTTGTGCCACGCTTCTGTTTTGGACATGCAATGCTCTATGGCTTACTGCAGTGCATAAGCTGCATGAGCAGTTTAAGAGAAGTTTAAACAAAGACCAAAAAATCATAAAGTACAGGGATTTCCAGGTTCAGCCAAAGAGCAGTGATACTATATATCAAGCATATTATCTGTTTTGCAGCTTAAGTAGACATTTTGCTCTTCTAACGTGATTTATGTGTGCATAAGGTCTCTAGCAACACATACCTGTCATCTTGCAGGGGCTTGACATAACCAGCAGATAAGATGTTAAGTGAGAGTATGTTTGGGTCGATGGCGGTCTCGTCAGCTTCCAGAGTGTTGCGTAAACGCCCTGACAAAGCACAGGTGTGTTTGGGAGAACTGTTCCTGCACATTCTTGATGAACTGCTTCAGGTTAAAGAAACCGGGAAGCTACACTTACCCACGACTAACTCTCGGACATCGTTCCACTCTATGTCTCCAGCAGACTCGTGCACAATGGTGACGGCTATTCTCCTCTGGAGACCCTGGAGTAAATCACGGAACAAAGGGATTCATGGTTTTGTTCAGCAGGTCTTTGAAAGTATTTCTATTTTGTCACGGTGCGATCATACCTGGTGCAGTAGGAATGTACCCTGGCATGGCAAGCCTCCTCTGTGGTCTACGACTGCAGGAATGTAACTTGGAGAAACCAAAATTATAAACGAGAATTAGTGGACAATAAATCTTCCCCAAATATTTCAATTCTAACTATCTGCTGGACTCACTCTCCGTTGGCCTCAAGCTCGCAGATCTCAAAGAACACCATCAGATCGTATTTACAGTGGCGGGGGCCCGCCTGGGGACGCGTCATCGCCTTCAGCTTGGTGGCAGGCACTGAGTTGACATGTTTCAAAATGTTATGTGAGAAAAAGCATGGTGAAGAGAGAACACACAACTATAAGCTAGTCTATGAAGGAGAGAGAACGGGCAGATGAAAGGAAATCCGGTGCAGGAAGAAAGTACAGTTTTGGAGAGAAAGAGCAACTTTTCTAGAAAATATTCATAAGCAACTTTATTGCTTGTACTTAAAGCTCAATGCTAACAAATCCACTTGCAGTTATCCTCTTTGTTCATTCCCAATGTGTTAAAGACAAAGGGGAATTATTGTACCTTTCCCTTAATTTTTACCAAAAGAGTTGAATAGTCAGATTGGAAACTGACTGCGTCTCTCTAACTTACTTAGTTCAACCTGAAAAACTCATTCCAAATAAGTTCACATGCACAAGTGTGGTGCATTTATATTCACTTCACTGAGAAGTAAAATCTAGAGGAACCAGTTCAAATTCAACCAATCAGGTGTAATTTGTCCTTAGTAAGTCAAGCAGAAAGACACTGAAAAGAGCTGTTTGTTGTTTGGCACAAACCAATTAGGCCATTCAGCCAGCATGTGGACCAGCCACAGATACAATGGGGAGTTTTAGATCAAGTAAATTTACAGGCTAAAATGACAAAGTGAACATAGAATTTGAGAAAAGACTTGAAAACCGATGATCACAGACGTTTTCCATCTATTCTTTTAGCGAGAAAAATGTTCCCGCTAAATGGCTTCAACTGTAAATAATGTTTTCCAAATTTAGGCTTTTAACCAAATGCACTTTATTACAAAACTGTGGAGTTTGAATATCAAGTGTTTAAGGACTTTAGAAAGAATCTGACTGAGCTTCAGTGATTTTGTAAAAAATGGGCAAAAGTTTAGCCTGCAGCTGTTATTGCAGAGAAAGGTGGTGCTACAAATATTAACTTGGGGCATGAATAAAAATAAAAAACTGAAAAGTGTAAACTTTTTAGAAGTTTACATTTTGCACTGAAGAATTGTGACATTCAGATCTCTCCCTGAGGTCAAATGACGGCTCATTAGAAGGCCTATAGAGAACATTGACATGCTGGAAAGGTCTGCTACCACCAGGAAGAGAACTAAAACGGGCAGGATGCCGGCCCTCAAGGACCGACTTTGGGCACCCCTGTTCTACCACAACCCAATTTTGTTCTCTGCTGTGAACAATCACATAAAATCCCAATAAAATAGATGAAAACATGACAAAACTGTTGACTATGCAAACACGTCTGTCAAATGTTTCTACTATTTTTCTGAAGTTTTTATTTCAGCTTTTGTCCCATTATATTTAGTGCTTTCACATCACTGTGATATTTAAATTTCCACAGAGAAACTCCAGTTCTACATTATATTTGAAAAGCAGAATATGCAATATCATAACCGTGCCTCTATATAGTAAAGTGACAATATTTTTAAGGGTAAAAGGCAGAACGATGAAGTTGAAGAGAAGGTTACATAAGGAAGTGCAAGGGTTCAACATAGAGGCTAACACACACACACACACACACACACACACACACACACACACACACACACACACACACACACACACACACACACACACACACACACACACACACACACACACAGCACCAGAGAGCCAATCCAAATGCAGAATCCTAAAACAGGAACACTTTTAATATCATTTCAATTTACCAAAATATTTATGTATTAGCACAACTTATACAAACAATAAAATGTCATTAGAAAAAAAACCCTAATTATTTTTCTTGACATGAGAAAAAAAAGGTTCCGGTTGCAGGATTCTGTTGGATCCGACAGCATGAACCAACCGGGTTTCTGAGCTTTAATAACTGAACAGATAGAGACGGGCGGGGCTGGCAGCTGAGCTCGCTCGTTTGCTTCCAGCAGGAAGGAAGCGGCCAAGCCAGCAGCGGACAGGGCGTGGCCCGACAGCGAGTCCACCAGCGCCCCATTGAACACGTCAGGGACCAGGTATCGGATCAGGTCCAGGGACTTCTCCCGATTGGACGAGTCGTCAGAGTCCACTGCTCACACCCAACAACATGAAGCTAAGATGACACGACTTGCAAACGGACGACGTACAAAAGATGCAAAAGCAACATAAAATAACTAACAACTAACTAGCGACAACAGCTGGGAGTTTCTTACCTGGTTTGGAAAGAGGCATCACTTGTGGAAATTGCCTTCTGCATGCGTGAAGCGGACTGGATGGAACAATAAAGTCACATGTAAATAGAAAAACAGATTCGTTTTCTATAGAGCTATATTTTCAAGGTAAGTTTTCAAACTTTTTCAGCATCAAATTTAGAAACAAAAACACAACAAAAATGAACAAAAAAAAAGTTTCACTTCATTATATGATACAATTTATTACTGTTGGTAATAGTCTTGCTGTAGTATTCTAGGTAAACTAAAATCGAGAAAAATGTTTTGAAATGTCTCTCTCACACAACCTATCCATCTGACTAGTTCCACAACAAAAAACTGATTTCACAAAAAAATCCCATAATTTAAACAATGTTTAAATAACATCTAAAATATAAGCTAACCTTTATTTCATTACACAGATCACTAATGTCAATGAGCCATTAGAAATAAACAATATTCATAACATTGAAGCAATGAAATGCTTCAACAGAATATCTAAATAATGTCACAAAAAATCCAAAAAAAAAAAAAGTTGCCATTGTGTTTTCTGGCATTTAATAAGTATAAATAATTTTTAGTAATTCTAACTAATCTAAAACAAGAAAAATTTGGTCAGATTCAACTTTAGATGGTGATTAAAAATATATTTGTATATGTTGTGTCTTTGTATTTGGTGATTAAAAATATCAAGTTGAAACTGTCGTCTTCATCAAAAGTTAGATTGCACTTATTACAAAACTGTGCAGCTTGAATACCAAGCATTTTCAAGGACTTTACACAGAAATGAAGCTCTTTCCAAGCACCTGTACAAACCTTATGTGTTTAACTTATTGACCAGGCGTCTCACCTGATGACATCTTTACACAGAGGAAGAAAAGGTTGTTTCTGGTAGTGTCCAAACACTTCAAAGACGATCGGTTGAGTCTTTATGTAGTCCACAAAGGACTTGGTCACTTCAACAGCAATCTACACACAAAAAAAAGACTTGAAAAGCAGTGCCCCATATGTGGTTGTAATAAAACCAGAAAATGATTTGTCTCTTACATTCTGCACGTGATAGAAGCCAAGAGGAGGCCCGTGGCCTGTGTTTTTCAGCGGCTCCGTAGAGAAAGCCTCGTCATGCCGATGGATGAAACTGAAATAAAAATGGAAACAAATGAAAAAGAAATAAAGGTGGAATAAAGACTAATAAGGGTATTTACTTTGGATGGATACCGACTTACTTAAACTGACAGAAGATGTCGGCATATTCAGCAGAAATGCTGGAGGCCTGCAGGACAGTCACCCTGAAGGTAAAAATGTTTCCGATTTTCAGGTGCTCCAAAGTCGCATCTGAAGTTGCATCCAGACCCGCCTTCGCTGGATTCTCCAACTCGTCTGCACCAGCTGATGCGAATAGAAGAAACAGAAATGGACAATGGCTTAAATGAAACTTTTTAGGTTTAGTTTAGATCCTCTGAAAGTATCGGCTGCAGCGGCTCCAGTATTCCTCCAATAAGCAAAGAAAATCGTCACAAGTGCCCACAGGAATGAACTATCCATTCACTCATAAGACAAGGTTACCCGCACATGTGTTGTTGTTGACCTCATCTGCTGACGGGCTCGTTTCAACATTTTGGCCTTGCCCCTCCACGATCCGAAGCTCTTCCTGAGAAACCCCTGTGCGGCTCAGTCCAACTCCGACAGAGCACGACTCCGACTGGAACTGAACATGTGAGGTCCACAACACAGCAGTCAGTAAAGACACAGCTTTTAAAAATCTGATACTCACGAAGTGACTTGTGACAACAACTGGTTGATTTTGTTTTTATTTAGGGTATTACAATAAAAGAGGGGTAAACACAAAGGCAGATCATAGTTTTTCCACTTTTTGGGGGAATACTGTGAAAGTCAAGTATTGCTTTGCTTTCACTTCACCATCAGACATTAATTTGTGTTGCTCTGTTACATAAAATCCCATTTACAGACATGCATCTGCAGCAGCAACAAGTGAATAAGGTCAATGTTTGTGAATACTTATACAAAACACTGAAATGTATCTAGGGCTGAAATGACTTGTTTATTCATGATTAGTCACTCATTGAAATAATTGTCAACTAATTTAGTATCCGATTAATCATTAACAAGAGTATATGAACTAAAAATGAAGCCAAAACAGTTAAAAAAAAAATCAGACATTTTTCATTTAAGATTAAGAAATGTCTTTGTCTGTAAATTTGTTTGACCCAAAACTCCTCAAGTTGCATAGTTTAAGCTTCACCTGGTTCAGATTCTGTAGAAAAAACAAAATTATTCGGCCTTTCTAATCAGTTAATCCAAAATATAAACAGATCAGCCACGTAATGTATTGTTAAGTCCAGCAGAAACAAATTCCAGACTTTCTATTTAGTTTTCTTACATAGAAATGTTTTAATCTACTTTGAATAATTGAACATATTGTTCTGCTTGACAAGTAGGATCAACTGGAATGTATGAAATTATTTTTTTGTAAAGTGCCTTGAGACGGCATTTGTTGTGAATTTGTGCTGCATAATTGAACTAAATTAAACTTTTCACATGTTGAGTTTAAAAGTACTCTTTAGCTGCAGATGCATCATTTGCTACAAATGTTTTCTTCTTTTAAAACAATTTAATGTATTTATTATGGATTATATAAAAAATAGCCAATTAATCAGTAGAATAATTGTTACATTAGCATCATACATTGGATTTTTTTCCCTCCCTACCTTCTCATACTGCTGATCCTCAAAAGAGATTTTGGCTGTGCCCGACTGTCTCACGCCGGAGCCGTAGTCGGGAGCTTCCTCGTCGGCTGGAGGGAAACAGAGAGCACCTTCACTTCATTCCCTCCAGAAGTTGCACTCAGCGTGTCTTTTCAGCTGCTTCACGCCGACAGACGTGAGCGACGGCAAGCCGGCGGGTCTGGGCCTTACCTGATATGGCCTGAACACCCACGCGCAGGAAGCCCTTCACCTCTCCTTTCTCGCTGACGATGGCCACGCGGTGCACCAGAGAAACCGGGTACACCAGGTTGCTCAGATAGACGAAAGCCCTGCGCGGTGAAAAGAAGAAAGAAAAAGAAAAACCGAAAGAAAAAGAACAGGCGAAACATTAAAACACAAGCAGATATCGAGAGGAGAAAAGAGACGGTTGACATTTAGTACATTTCCACCGGGCAGGACAACAGAACACAGAGCTGCAAAGCAACCAAACAGAAGCTGGGACTGCTCTTGCGATGGCCATGGTTGCCCTTTACTATTGCTGCTTTAAGGGCGTTTCTTCCTTTATCAATAAGCCAATATGTTGAGACAGTTATGGCTGGCATGCAGTATCCCTGTTGCTTTTAATACGAATGAAGCCTTGGTGAGGCTTAGGAGCACGTGTGAAAGAGTAACTTTAGCTTTGTAAAAATATATCAAATTTATGCTTAGGAGTTGTGCACTCACTGCAGAAAGCAAGGGCTTCCTTCATGAGCTCAACAATTTTACAGATTTAATTTTGTTTTTGTATGTTCGAATGTAATCACAAAACTAATTTAAATACTCAGAGTTAAGTCACTCTGCATTACAGTGCCTTGATAAAGTATTGATAACCTTGAACATTTTCATGTATTTTGGGGGGAATTTTATTGTGATAGAAAATTGTGTTTAAAATTATATTGGTAAATAATAATAATGAAAAAAATAAACATTTCCTTCCAGTTTACCATTAGTTCTATCACATTAAATCTACTGAAACAATTTTATTTTATTTTTATTTTTTAGTTAGCTTAACAAAATGTGAAAAAGTTCAAGAGGTATAAATACTTTTGAAAGGGATCGATTTTGCCATCTTGTTTCAAAGTGCAATTTAAGATCTATGAGTCAAAGGTCGCATTTTCCATAAGCCAGAGGGTTGGGTGGGGTTGGGGGTAGACACTTAGGGGTGGAGACTCATGACAAGATTGGTGAGGTGCAAATAAGGCATGCTCAGGACAAAAAAAAAAAAAAAAGGTCAACAAAAATACTTTCCAGTTGTCGACTCAAAGGAATCAAAAGCAAATGAAACAGAACAACATGACTCAGCTTGAATAAAAACTGCCAACAGCTTGATAAATAGTGTGCTACACCAAAAAACCCAACGAATAACATCCAAAATCAAAGTGCACCACCTGGGCAAAAGTAAAAGTGATGTTTGGTAAAAAAAAAAAAAAATTAAATAGTTAATTGTTAGACGTGTTCAAGTTAAAGTTGCCAAAAAAAAAAGGATCAAACTACAAACGTGTGTGTGCTCTGGCATGCCTAAAAGAGGCAGCAGCTGCAGTAGAAACCAGCTCTTTCATCTTGAGATTTTTGAGTGTTTCTTGCTCATATAACATGGTTCGCTCAAATTAATCACTTCCAACAGGAACAGAACAATTCTCTGTGCATGCCTTTGTAATGCTAATCAGATCAGACCTTAATAATCCCCATGACTCAGCTGCTTCGACAAGTCATTCACATTCATGCTTCTGGCACAAACCTCAGCTTTTTATTTAGCAGCACAGTGCTTCAAGGCGTCTGCTGGATTTTATGATTTTCACTGAAAAAATACAAAATCTTAAAGTACTTTTGATCTAGTTTCTAGTGCAAATACCTTAGTACACTTGAAATAAGACAGAACTAATAGTACCAGTTGTTGTAGAACTTCTTGCTGAATACTAAAATACTTCAGCAAGATAGAGGAGCTCGTTTTCAGGCAACTATTTCTTAATAATGATGAAAAGGTACTACTTCCACTTGGAGATTATTTTCCTTATGGAAAATGTCTTGCTCTAAGTGAATTTTTTCACAGAACTGCTTGTAAGACGAACATACTTCTATGAGTCATTCAACAATATACTAAAGTAACCTTGGTTTTAGTTTAAAAACCTGTTTCCAGGAGTATTAAAGTATTTTTATTTCACTTAAGGCAACAAAACAAAAAAAAAAAAAAAAAAAAAAAAAGAACGAAAATAAAGCATAAAAATGTAGATACATATAAAATATTGAAACCAGGAACTGTCCATTCAGAAGTAGCTTCATATGTTGTGTGGAGAGAGATTTGCAAATATTTCTGGTTTCAATTTCAGAAAGACTAGAACAATGAAAACTAAGTGAAGAACATAATAATAATAATAACATAAAAAATATATTCAAAAGCTTGTTTGCCTTTGAACATTAAACAACTGGAGGTGTTAAAAGAAGTGAGCAAAGAAAAACACCAGTCATGAAGCACTGAGCTGCAAAAGCATAAAATCTTACCAAATATTTGTGGTCTAGTTTCCAGAGCAAATGTCCTATTACACTTGAAATAAGAAAAGTGATTTAATCAACACTTTTCAGCAAGATATAGCAGCTTGTTTAGAGTCAATAATTCCTTAATATTGATGAAAAAAATCATCTTACTCTCAGAGTTCACTTATAACATGGGAAAATGTCTTGTTCAAATTAAATAATCTGCCAATGGAACTGAAACTTTGTCAGTTTTAAGAAATAATGTACCTAGAATAAGTTCCTATAACTTGTTCAAAAGTTACTAGTAAGTTGAAATACTACTTACGTTATATTTTTAAAAAATATAACGTAATAGATTAAAATGTTACTTGTGGTGCTCATCTTTCTGAGTTAGTTTTGTCTCATTTCAAATGCACCATGATATATAAAAAATAAATAAATTTGGTAAGATGTTGTTTTTGCAGTGTGATTTTTTTAAATGTGTCACCTCTATGTTAACATCAAAGATGCAGCTTTTCTCTCAAACCTGGAAAATGAAATTAAAGCAAAATATATAAACTAAGAGAAATTCAGATCGATGATTTGATGCTGCCATGTAAAATGCAAACTACCCATTCGACATCCTTATTGTGGATAAAACTCTCTTAAATGTGCACTTCATTTCTCTCGATGCGAATCGGAGGAGCAAAACCCAGCGTCTCAGTGTGAAAGAGCTAGTTTCCTCTGCCAGCATGCTCCTGAAACCTCACCAACCTTCCCACTACACTGAATAATGGAGAGCGGTCGTAAAAGGGGTCCAGGCCTTCGCTGGAGCCTCGGCAGAGCCCTCCAACATCATCATCATCATCATCATCATCATCCTCTGGCCCGAGCTCGGAGCACGGGTCGTCCAAAAAGATATCATCATCCAGGTCGTCCAACTCCTCCAACTCCTCCTCCCCTCGACCCTCCCTCTGCGAGTCAGCCAGCTCAGTAATTTCAGAGGTGGAAAGGGTCGGGGATGGGGTGGGATCACTCATGCGCTCGCTCATGCATGTGTTGAAAATAGGATTTCTGGTGCAGCCAGAAACATGGGAACTAGGTTAGTACAGTTAGATAGAAAGCACACATTGGAAAACATATGGACTGGAAGGAACCTTTCCCAGATTGAAACTAAATGCTGAGATATAGACGAGACATGGGAAAAGTGTTTCCCCAGCAGTAAACTAAATAGGGGGAAAGGAAGTGTGTGTCTGCGTAGCAAGATTTCTGTGGGTTACACCATTTTTTTTTTTCAAAGTGGAGGCCATGGTCCCTCAGCGAAGTTGCCCCCGAGCTCCACCGCTTTCATCAAATCAAACAAATTTGGTGTTAAATCAGGTGTGCTACATTTTTACTGGTCTGTGCTTGAAAGTTTGAATGTTAAAAGCTCAATCAGCCAAATCCCAAATCAAATAAAATTAGCCTTCAATGTTTGAGGAAAATTTTAGCAGCGCAAATATAACATAATTGACTCCCACCGAATTTGTTTGATTTCAGAAATGTGAAAGGGGCTGATTGACCTTCTATGACCCCCAGAAACTTTTACTAGTATCTTAAAAATTGTTAGAAATATTTAGTATGTTATTTTGTTTGCTGTGTTCAATGTATTTGATGAGTGCAGCTGTTCTGCTGTTCTCCCATTGTTCTATGAGTTTTTCAGTTCCTGCCTTGCAGTTGCAGAAAGGAGCAACTGCAACTCAAGCTAGCAGAAGAAATAACTGAAGAAACAACAATGCTATCTAACTGATTTGAGATAACAGAATAAGCTATGTAACTCGGGACCCCTAAGGAAATAAAAAGAACGTGTTGTAGGGTGGTTAGGAGATTGTAACTGAAGCTAGTTCATGTCCGTCTTCCTTGCAAGTAAATCTAAACTCTCTTGTCTTTCTCCTTTTGTGTGGCGTTAAAATGTTTTAGGTCATTAGAAAATGAAAAATGATACCAGCACAACAAAATCTTTGCTGCACACATTGCAGCATAAACATCTGAGAGCAATTTTGTTTGGGCGCGGAGGTGGGGTAATCTGTTTGTCAATAATTTTTACAAAATATAACGTAATAGATTGAAATGTTACTTGTGGTGCTCATCTTTCTGATTGGCTGCCAGTCAGATTTATCAAGATGCTTTGCTCCACAAGCCAGCAAAGCAAGCAGAAAATGGAAACATTTCTGGCAAGAAACACTGAAGGAACTGTCCAGTAGCCCTGCTGTGCAGAAAAACTGCTACAAAAAATGCTCAAGAAAACTCAGGGCCAACTAGAGTCAGAAGGTATAAGGCAGCATTTATGCTAAGCAAATCAATAAAAGTGAGGGCGAGGAGGGAAACAGGCGCCCTCATTCCAGACTATGATTTTATTTTAGGTATTTTGTGGCATTGTTTGCTGGTTTGCACCCAGAAGTTAAAAATTCTTTGAGCCCCTGTGTTAGACCATGAGCAAGAGATACAAATCAAAGATGCCATGCGGTACTCAAAATCAGTTCCTGTTTATCACTTCATTGTTGTTAATGTCCAATAAAACATAAAAAATAAACTATAATGGTCAACTCAAACAGTAGACAGAATAAAGGTAGACATCTATGTTCAGTGGTTTTAGTAAACAAAAGTGGCCAACAATTGTTCAACAAGCTAATGAGAAATGCTGTCCTGTATCTTTTACAGGATGAAGTGGATGATGTTCGCTGTTTACCTGCCAACCAGGCGGAACCATGGGAAGCGATCGTAAAAAGGGTCTCCTCCTGTCATGACACTTTCACTCTCCTCTGTGGTGTTATTGGGCACATCGGCAGCTCGGTCGTACATCTCTCGCATGAGGTCAAGCCTTTGCCTGCAGGAAGAGAAAAGGATGTTTTCACAGCCGATAGTCCTGCAGACTCGGTTTCCATTCCCGACCAAACCTGCAACATTTGCTCCAATTTCACTGTATTGTGTCAAACGAACCAAACCCTTCGGAAAACAAACCTGTTCCCCTCCTCGCCTGTGGTGGCGCTGCACCAGGAACCACTCAAGAAAACGATACGAAAACTTCTGAAGAACACACTGAGTGCAACTTCCTTCTTAGCAAAATGTAAACAAAAATCGAGTCTTTTGTTTTTGGTAAAAATCTATGACCCATTTTTTCCTTCTCCTGCTTCACTGGAATGTTTGTCTTGGTTGTTTTTACCCAGAATGCCTTGCACTTTAGTCTGCATCTACATATACATTTGAACCTCAAAGAGGCCTGGGGTTTTTAGGTGGACCAAAGTTCACTTTTCTGGTTTGTGTCAGAGTTCGGTTGCGCATTCAGACCTTCCAATATGAAACTAGGAAAGGAATCTAACACTAAACAATAACATAATTAAACTAGAGTACAGTGAACCCTCATTTTTCACGGGGGTTACGTTCCAAACAGAACCCGTGATAGGCGAAATCTGTGAAGTAGTAAACTTTTTTTTTTTCACAATTAGTATACAGTGAAATACTCCATAATACATCGAAATCAAAGAACAAAACCTTTTTACAGGCCCAAGTATTTGTTTAACAAATAAAAGTACTGTATAAACTTTTTTTTTTATATAAATAACGACTGTACTGTAAAATAATCATTTTAATCATCAATACGAACTGAAGGCTTCAAATTGCGGAGAGCAACACTCCCCCTCTGCGACCCGAGTCATTTTACGTATGTGTACATATTAAACTGCAACGTTATTGACACACAGGTAGAGAAGCGGAGAGACTGTCTAGCCAATCAGGACGCAGAATACAATGCACTGTGGAAAAAAGAAACTGCATAAAAAATTTGCAGAGCAGTAAGACCTTGAAAGGTGAACCGCGTTATACTGAGGGTTCACTGTAACTAAGAAAGGACTGAATCAAAGAAAAACGGGAAAATGATGATCTAGTCAAAAATCAAATCAGAAATCAAATCAGAACTTATGAATGCATGAGAAATTCTAAAACAACCCAATACTCTGGCAGGTTCATTTAGACAAAGACAGCCTACCTTAATTTTTCTAACGTCCAGAAGTGAGTTGCTCCATTCTTCTGATCTTGCACTTCCACAGCCACAATAGTGCGAGGAAAATGTCTACTTTCTCTGTCTTGAGTCGCCTCTGGGGGCAACAGGTCAGGAGGAAGTGGGGAGTAGAGAGTGTCTGTGAGCAACACAAACTGGAACTGGACCTGCAGGCGAACGCGAAGCATCTGTTAGGCAACAGCCAGCACAGAGGTTACATGGCATAATGAGTCAAATTAACAGGATGCACCTTCTTTTTGAGTTCTACACTGATGGCATTGGCTTCTTTAAGAAAGATGGCATTTCCCCACAGCAGGTCACGAAGTGAGGTGAACTGGTAGCATCTCCACTTCCTGAAGCCCCACACAGCCAACTCTCTCTCCTTCTCCGTCCACTGAACTGTTAATTAGAAAAAAAAAACAAAACAAGGAGACTCATGTGGCCAAGATGCGTTAACGACAGAGAGACAACATTTGAACCCAGACATCATCTTGACCTTCCTCTTCTGGTTCCTCCTCTTCTTCAGGGGCTTCTGGGTAATAACGGTCCACCTGCTTCTGTAAAGCCTCAAGCTTGCTCTCATAATCCTACACAAAAAACAATAATCAGTAAAGGTCTAAAACAGATTGCAATGTTTTGGCTTTAATACCAGACACCTTTGTGTAGTTATTGGTGTAGGTCTTTGTACAAACTATCAGTAGAAAACTAGAAAGTCCTCTGAACAAACTCTTGTAAAACTACAAAATGTGCCAGTTTCTCTACCAGTCTTTGCTGCTCTAGAAGATTGTTGGCTTCTTCCCTTTCTTTGCGGTACTGATCCTCCAACTCCTGAAGCCTGAGGACAGAAATGGATGCAGTCAAAACAGACTGGATGGAGGCAACACACAAAACCAAACTGATCAAGCTTTCTATTTTTATACCAGCGTGTTAAAAACAGAGGATGTAGTCATCTGTAATTTGGCAACTTTCATTCAGTGGATGTGGGTACTTATTTAGTATTTTAAGCTTTGCAGCCCAAAGGCTTATCACAAAGAAATGTCTATGCAAATAAGTTCCATCCCTTTATGACTGGTGTCAGATTATGGTTTATATAGGGTGGAAAGAATTTGTTTTTCAGGTAGATTTCAGATTGCAAGATTTGAAAAGATCTGGGTTAAAGAGAAAAATTTATTGAGATAAAATATCCAGAATGTTTGTGACTCTCTCAACAGATTTTACTGTAATTTGAGTTATTTACAAGTCATACATGGACACCACACCTTCTACTTTATTTTTTCATGTTCATGTAATTTTATGTTTAGTTATATTAAAAAAGCTTAGAAAAGAACAAAATAAGCTCATCAGCTCTAATGCTTCAGCTGTTTTGAAAAACACTGGAAGGTGTCAAAAAACATTGATGGTTTGATCATTTTACAACCGAAAAGCTCTATTTACTTTAGAGAGATTTAATGTGACTAACAACAAGTATTGCATGATTGTGAAGTGGAAGGAGAATGATACAAGGTTTTCATATTTTTTGGGAGATTATTATTCAGAGAAGCAGCTACAGGCTCTTCCAACAAGATAATTAAAACAAAACGTGGTTTTACAAAGAACCATTTTGCTGAACCAGTTTTCAAATTTGTGACTGTGAATGACTTAAAGAAACATTTTTTTTCCCCTTTCATGTCATAATCATGCACTACTCTGTGTAGGTCCCAATATGAGGTGAGAAAATCTGAAAAAATTCAAGTTGAATACATCTGTGAGGCATTGTACTTTCCATCCAAGCTAAGGTTTTTTTTTGTACCTCTGTTCCATTTCTTGTTTCATGTCAATGCCCTGTTTCTCCAACAGCTCTCTCTGGGCAAAAGCCCAGTCAACAGGCTCAGCAGGGGTCTCGGCGCAGGGGGTCCGCTCCCTTTCAGCTCTGGCCTGCTCAGGGTGGTTGAACCGGAACACGTGGCTTTTCCCCAGGATGATGCGATTTCCTTTAAGGAACGGAAGCTTGAATCAGTAAAACCAAGTAAAATGACTCATGTTTGCACAAAGCTGACATTAGGCGATTCAGTATTCTGACCTGACTTCAGTACTGTTGCTTCTGTCACTCTCTTCCCATTGACGTAAGTCTCGGCTCCTTCGCAGGGCTCCAGGACGACTGCTGCTTGGTAACAGAGAGAGTTGATATTACAGCAGTAGTGATGATGTCCGAACCCGTTGAGCTAAGAACCATCTGCTCACTCTCTCCTGATGGACCAGTGCATCTCGTAAAGGTGCAGTGCTCGTCCTGGATAAAATGGCCGCTGAGGACGATGTCTTGACGGCTGCTGGCGTCCAAACGGCCCACCCTAGAAAGCAACAGAATCTATTCCAGCTTCAACTTTTCAAAACAATATTACACTTCCAGGTGGAAAAATATATATATCTGTGATTATCTGACCTGGTGATTCCCTCTTTAATATAGTACAGCAGACACTCAGACATCAGAGGATCCTCATTGAGGTTCACCAAATGAGGCGTCTGACCAAGAAGAATGACTCATTTAGTGACAAGAAACTTTTGCTAGTGAAATAATTTAGCATCCATGTGGAAAAGTATGCTTCTCACAGCAAGCTATATCGACAGCAGTTAAACACCATGCAGTAAATTCACTTCCTGCAGCATTTAAATGTGGGTGTTTACATTGACTTATATGTACATAGGAAGGCAAACAGTTCATAAATCACTGAAATGGGAACACAACCATTATATATTCCTCCATGTTTACACCCATCCGTGCCATCAGTGCAGTGAGGAAGTGTTTGTAGTGTAATTAAGGAGATTAAGGAAATCTTAATCTACTCTCTCAAAGAGAACCTCACAGCACTCAGTGGAGAAGCACAACACAGAGCGACAAACCTCATTAGGGGAAAACAGACCAACTGTGTCTATAAACACAGGCTGGGGCTTTCTGGGACAATCAGAGGGCTTTGGGGCAAATAAGTAAGCAATTTGCTGATTAATTCTAAAGATAATTGTTTCATTTTAAAGACTGCTTGGAGACATGCAACATAATGCGACTGATTTTTATTTTGTGTTTTCTCCCTCTTTTTTTTTTTTTTTTTACCTTTTTAGGAGAGAACACACCAACGGTGCCGCCATCTTCTCGTATCGCCACACCCATTTCTGCCAGCAGGGCCTCTCTGGGGAGAAGCAATGTTCTCGATGAACTTAAGAAGCAATTCACAGTTTTGTTTTGTTTTTTGCATGTGCTTTTTGCTTTGTTTCTGCATCAGAGTCAGGAAGCAAGTTGCATTAAATATATGCTGAGGGACAAAATTCAAAAACTTAAATCTTGCTTAGTGATTTTTTTTTGTCTAACTTAGATGTAACTTTTCAGCAAGACATAGGAGCTTGTTTTAAGTTACTTAGTCCTTGATACTGATAAAAAAAAAAAAAAAACGTTCTAGTTAAAAGTGAAATAATCCACCCATGAAAAAGACATTTTTTCCATTTTATAAGGTAAAAAAAAATCTTCTAGTAGAACTAATACCTTTTCATCAATATTATATTTTCATGAAGTCAGTAATTCATTATAGACAATTTCCAAATTTTTTAGGTCATCAATTGTCTTCCGTTTTGTTGGCCACATTCTTACTATTCTAGACTTGTGGCCAAGGGCCAAACAAAATCCTTTTTTGGTCACACTTTGAACCCTCCTTGTCTAAATGGTGCAGCAACCATTTCTACTGGTTGCCTAAATAAACTCCCGCCATCTTACCTTTCCATTCTAATGGCTTCTGTCCGGCGGAGCTTTTCTTCCCAGGTCTCGTTTAGTTCAGCAATTATTTTCTCAGTTTCCTGACATTTGAAAACAAAAGGGGGACAGTTAAGATGCATCAACATGTGAGACATGGCCCCATCTTAAAAGGCAAGCTCCCCAACCCAGATTTTTGTAAGCCCGATTAATCTGAGAATTTTTCAACAAAAAAGCCAAAAAATATTTAAAACGGGGCATTTACTATGGCTAGAGGGAAATACGGCAGAAAGTCTCAAAAATCCAAGTGAGACGACAGTGGACGGTAACCAAATGTTAGCTTTGAAGTGTAACACAGGGGAACAACCTGGATTGTGATGGAGGATGTGGCCTTGTAGCCAACTGGTAGATTTTTCAAATTATGTTCGATAACCTCCCTATTAAAAGCACACGGGTAGGTCTGGCTTCAAACGCCAAAACAGATGTGTACTAAACATATTTCACTTATTTACAATATTTAAAATAGACTTTATTCTTCCATTTTTATAAGAAAATCCAATAAAGCACAACAATCTAAGGGAGAAGTCGGGCAGAATCTGAGATTTAAACAAATCACTGCAACCCAAAACAAGGTAAAGTACAAGGACAAAAAAATATCATGTAAATCCAAAATTACATTTATCACTGTCCTAAAGAGCTGCCCTGACAAAGTGCCTCTGCAAAAAGGGGCTATCAAACTGTAGTTCTGGCACCATGAAGATTTCTATAGTGCTTATTCTAAAACCCTGGTTCTAAGGCAGAATAACTAAGCGTCACCACCATTCCGGTCACCTAACACAAAATAAGCGTAAACCTGAGAGCATTAAAGACCGAGAGCATAATAGGCGACAGTAGCAATCTTAATTGGTCACAACAATTAAAGGTAGATTCAGAGCGGTGTAGGCGCAATCCACCAACATGTAACCCAACCAAATGTCGAACTCGCACCTCCGACCGACTAGTGAAGCAGCGACGCCTGGAGAACCAGCAACTTTCCGCGCGCACCGGCGCCCATATATACTAATGAGCCAGGAAACGCTGCGAACACCCGGAGTACAGGTGGGGGAACGAGCATGGTGTGTTCATAGGCCCAACACGAGTGGGAATTTCCGGCCACTTCGGCAGTGGGGCTATTTTTTGAGTTCAGAAACTAGCTGATTTAGCGAAAGAAGCGACACTGGACCCAGAGTTGAACGTAAAGATTCAATTATCAAAGAGCTGCGAGACGTCCGTCAAGAAAAGAAATTAAGGAGGAGATCAAAGTTGCCAACAGCCGGAGTGGTAACGCAGAGAATCGGATACAAGAAGTGGAGGAGGAAGAGGAAGAGGAGCGCTTGGAGCTCCTGGACATACAGAAACAGTTCCAAACACGGCTTGTGGATCAAGAGGGATGCAATCTAGCAATCTGGTGTACGTAATCAAGATGTTTATTTCAGCAAATGGATCAAACTTGGGGAAGAAAATCATTTCTAGATTGTACACAGGATTGGAAAATTTGAAGAAAAGCAATACAACATACATAAAAGTAAGATGGGGAAAAAAGATGCCAACTGTTGGCTTTTGCAGGAGAACTGGGAGGAGACATGTGGGAAGCAGTGGCAAACATCTCTTTCCCTTTTGTGGAGAGAGTATGTAAGATATTTCAGTACACCAGCACAAAGAAAATACCAAGATACAAAATGTTGGAGGCAATACGGAAAAGACAGAGCGGGTCACTTCCATGTGTTTTGGGATTGTGCCTACATGGTACCCTATTGGCAGGAATTTAAAGAATTGTATGGATAAGGTGCTGGGGGTGAATATTCCACTCACATTTGACGTTCTATACATGGGTAGAGGGATGGAAAGATTAACAAGAGCAGCTGATAAATATATGTATAGGATTATACATATATTTATGTATATGCTACCAATACATATATTGGTAGCAAGAAAAGCCACTACTGGAGGCAGAAACTCCTAAAAGGGAAGATTAGGTCGATGTAATGTATGATATTTATATTATGGAAAGGCTGACCTTTTCCATCAGATTAGAATCTGGAAAATTTAAGAATTATTGGAAAAATTGGAGGGGCTTTTATTTCACTGTGGAGATCATACTTTATTAATTAAGATTGTGGGTTTGGGTACCTTTACAGAGATACAGACCGTAAATAGTTTGTTTACAGTTAATTTCTGATAAGAGATTTAAAATTGTGATGACTTGGAAGAGAAGAACAGACAAGAAAACATAATTTTGACCATTTTTTTGTTGTTCTTTGTTCTCCCTTTAATTTTATTTAGCAAGTGTATGGATAGATTGGGTAATATCGAGATTAGCAAAGTTTTTGTGTCCAATGTAGGTACAGAATGTATGTGGAGGTTCTCTTGGATGATATATAATGTATGGATAACACTGTAAAGTCTATGTACTACTGGATGGAAAAAGAAATTTCAATTACAATGTGCAAAAAAAATAAAAAAACAATATCTTTACATGTGACGAAACGACTGAACTTAACACCAGGTTCTCACCTTCAGCCGCTCGATGGCTTCCTCGCTGCCTGGGCTGAACATAATGCGGTCATGCAGACTGGCAATAGAGGCGGCGCGGCTGGACAAGGCTGAGAGGGATGGCGATGGGCTCATCCCTGTCATGGCATTGGTCACTGTGAAAAGATCATCCCTTTGATTCACAGCTTGGCCTACATCGTTATTGTTCGTGTAATCGGACATGTCTGTCGGCGTGGGGCACAGGGAGTGGTTAGGAGGTCCGTAAAAGATAGCGAAGGAAAAATAAAATCGAAGATAAGGAGAGAAGAGAGGGAGAGTAGAAATGGAAGAAGATAACATGCCTTCAAACACGTGTAATCTGAACAGTTTGTTTAAAAGCGACGGCAGCGGGAGGAGGAAGCTGCACAGAGGGCATGTCAACTTAAATAAAGCAGCAAAGAGCCAACCAGCCACCAAAGAGCTTAAAGAAAATGCACTGACTTTATGAAGCTGTAAGCAGTCTCATTTGAAATGAAGTAAATAAAGGCACTTTACAGTAACTGTGTTCAACTTCCTGGTTTAGGAAGGAACCCTAGATGATTTTAGTAGGATAAAGATTTAGACAAACAGGATCCATTAAACTTTTAATCTTTTTTCCACATATAGGCCAAGCAAATCACAAACTTAAAGAGTCCGTAAGGTTTGACTAGCCCATCTGTTTCCTAATACAATGTTGGTCAAGATATCAAAACAAGCATACTATTTTTTACAAATAGTATAAACACTCGATAAATCTCAAGCACAAAAATCTTTGCTCAGAGTTGAATTATCCAGATGAGATTTACTCAGATTAAGTGTTTTATCTTTTTAAGTACAATATAGAGGTGAGCGATATGAGTAAAAAAACGTATCAAGCTTTTCATATCGATCGACATTGATAATTACCATTTTGTTTTTTGTTTTGAATATCTGGTGGTGCGACGTTTCCTGTTTCATCCACAATATCCTCTCCAGCTGCTGTTCTCATTTTCTGTTTCACTTCAGGCTCTTTTTTTTGTTAAATCTTTAAGCATCTTTTATATATGGTGGCTAAAAATGAAACTGCTAGTATAATAGATGATCAAAAGCAGTCAAGACTCACTAGCCCCTAAATTAATTCAATAAATTATTCTTTTCTTCGACTTGGTTTTTGGTGTGACCACACTTTGGCCCCAACAGCTTCATAGATAACAGGCTACGCATTTCAAAAATATACTGCATGCAGTTTTATTTTTAAGGGTCTGTAACAAGAATATTATCTATGTGCAACAAGAAGTTTGAGCTGCATACATTTGGGTTTGCTGAATTGTGAATTTATTTGATTCATCAGGCAAAACAAGAGAATTTTATGTTACACTAATGTAACATTGGGACTTTTCTTAATCTTAGCTTTGTTGTGATTTATTAACATCTATAATAAATTCTTTGTAGAGTATTAACTATGTAGCTGCTGCTATGGGAACAGAGTACAACAAATTGGCAAAGTGTGTGACACCCATCCTTCTGTACAGGTTTATTCTGCCAAGATGCACCAGATAAAATTGTCTCTCCAGCTAATAAATGGGGAGTGTTATGAAAGAGTATAAAAATGATATGAAAAAAAATAATACTCTCTGTGACTGAATCATCATTTTACTGTTACTGCACATTTAATTGTCCCAGCTGCCAGGGGAAATAGATTAAATCAGACACAAACCCAGCCTTGCCAGGAAAGGAAAGTGGGAAACATCACTTTTTATAGCATGGGAGTTGGGATGAAATGTATCATACTGCTTTCCGTATGCTTTTTATGCTGTATTGCTTTCCCTTTTTTTTGAATAATGAAAACTAAAACGCTGCCTCTTAAATGGCACATCTAAGAAGCCATATGTAGATTCTGTTTTTTGAACATCAGCAGCCTAAATTTATCATAATTATCAACAAAACTGCCCAGATAAACCTGACTGCTCAGTGGTGCTGCAGAGAACATCGACAAACTACTCATGCTGTTACAGTAAGCGCCATAGCAAAAGCAACAGCAAAAATAAAATATAAAACAGAAAAGTAAATAGGAGACACACGTTTTAAACCCTCTATGTCAGCACCAGTTGCTCGATAGGCTGGGTGAGATTGAAACAGAAGTTAATAGAGAGAGACAGAAAAGAGAAAACCTTTAGATAGAATCTTCATAGTAAAAACAATACCATGTCAATGGTTTTAAATACTTAATACTTTTAAAAGTATTAAGTATTTAAAGCCCTTGACTTTTTTTTTTTTACATTTTATACTGTTACAACCACAAACTTTGTTGTATTTTGATGGAATTGTGTTCAATAAACCATAATCATAATCACTGTGACGTGGGGTAAAAGTAATACACAATTTCCAGTTTTGTTCTACAAATAAAAATCTGAAAAGTGTGAAATGGATTTTATTGTATTTTATAATACTTATACCTAGTTTGATATAAACCTTTTCATTATAGTGTTGGTTGATTTTGCAGGGTGGCTTGCAGCCTTTAAGAGACTTTCACTTCATTCATCCTTCCACCAACTCAGGTAGGAAAACCAGTTTCAAGAAAAGTTTCCCCACAGCATGATGCTGCAACCACCATGTTTCATGGTCAGAGATGTGTATTTACATTGATGTGCAGTGTTATTTTTGTGGCAGATATTGCATTTTGCATGTGGGTCAGGAAGTTTTGAACATTTTGATCTCATCTGACCAAAAGATCTTCCTCTCTGTTTGCTTTGTGCCTTATGAGCCTTCCATCAAAATGAACACAGAGCAGCTGTGTTACACACAGGGGAACGCTAGTTGACAATGATTAAGTTAGTTTCTACTTAGGCATATCAAAAGCTGTATGAATGGAAATTAGCACATTTTTACTGCTATTTAATCATTTACAGCCCTCAAACTAAATATTCTAATAAAATACATTGCAGTTTGTGGTGGTAACATATCAAAGTTGACTGACCAGGCCTCACATATCCCACAGAATTTACATTGTTAAATGTAAATTCTAAATGCTAAATAAAACTTTTACAACTTCAGTTTCATCATCATTTAAATAACACACTTGTACATGAATAGATGGCGGGAAAAATTAGATTTTGTAACTCACTCTCAATGATGTCACCCAGTCCCTGGGCATACAGGAGGTCTTTCAGACGGGACACTTCCTCTTTCAGCTCACGCACCAATCGGTTGTTTGGATCCTCATTGATGACAGCGTTGCAGCGAATCTGTTTGGCACGGTCAGCATACCTGTGGATTTGAGGAAAAACCCCAAAATAACAGAAGATGCTGACACAAGAGGGAGGTAGAGAGCAAACTAACATACGTGCAGGATTGTCCTGATGTCTAACACATTGCAGCCTGAAACAGCTACTGCAACTTTTGACGTGTTTAATGTGATCCGGTCTCTGCCATCTACCTGAGGGTGCTGAGGGTTTCATCGTAGTTGATGTCAGCTGGACTCAGAGCGGCAACCATCGCCGTTCGAGAATTTCCCCCTAGCAACGGAGAGAGAAAATATGTGTATCAGCATTATCCAGGTTCAGTTTGAATTTATTCATGACTGCAATTGAAAAGCAGATTCTATGTACCCAAGTTCTCTCTCAGCAGCCAGGTTAAAACTGAATCTCTATATGGAATGAAGCTTTCCACTTTCTTCTTCTTTTTATTCTGTGCAACGAAAAAAAACAGATTTTTTTCTCCTTCAGAATGCGGGAGACAGATTTCTGAAAAAATAATTCAATTAAATGGGTAACCTTGTTCTGTCCAGAATCCTAAAAAGAATAGAAGCAGAAGAAAAAATATTTAAACATCTTAAAATCGGCCTCATCTTTAAAAATATACCAAACAGTCAGAGTAATACTCACCACTTCTGCCAAAGCAGAAATAACTTTCCCCAGTGTGGTTAAAGACTTGTTGATATTTGCTCCTTCCTGTCATTTTACAAAGCGATAGGATTTAATTAACTTTTTATAACAGGGATATAGAGTAAATTAGGATTTTCTTAAAGCCGTTTCACCTTAAGCCGGGTTCCTTTGGCTCCTGTAGAGTCCGCTCTCTCGCTGCCAGCCAGATCCACCAAGCTTATTTTACTAACCTACAGGAGCAACATCAGTTAATATTCCAGCATATTTAATGTTGCACATTATCTGTCAATCAAAAAAATATACAGCTATTAATAACCATTGCAGAGACTGGAATTAGATTAACCTTATGACCTGCAAGCCATCATTGATTTTTTTTCTCCTTAAGATCAAGATTTCCCCCGGAGTCATCTATCATAGTTAGGAGAAGCAGAAGCGCTATCTAAATGGATCATTTCAGTCAGGATGTGATAATAATCGGCTACCTTTTCAGAGGTGTTGTCGGTCTCCGCATCAAAGCGTTTCTGAGTAAATATGATGTTAAAAACTGCGTGAGAGCGACTGCTGGTCTCATTCATGTTGGTGGCAGCCACAGTCCTACACAGAGAGCAGAGTTTAATCAATTCACAGAGTCCATGTCTCTTTACTAGACGGTCCTACAGTAGCATGATTGTATCATACACAAGGTATTTTCTCAAAGTGATCTTACTTATGAAACCCGTGGTAGGAACACTTTCACGTGTAGTGAAACTAGTTTTTCCTTTTATCATTTTAGCTAAGTGATTTTTTTTTGGATAAACTGTAAGGCACTAATGTTGAAGGTTTGGTCATCAGCTATTAAGACTTTGTTTATATTCATACTCTTATTTTTAAGTGATTGAAGATAATTCACATAGCAGTTTCTTTCCTCTCCTCCCATTCTGTCTCTTTTTTTCCCACAGTAACCTTGTTTCAAACAAGAAGCATATAGGAACGAAATGAAACATGAACAGCAGAGAACACGATATGAATAGAAATACAGTATGTAAGGGCATTACACAACATATCATTTGTAATGTGAAAATTAAATTGGTGCTTCAAGGTAGTCTTTCAAGGACAGACATTTGAATAGAAGTTGGTGTTTTAGCATTAGCTTCTGCTAAATACCTGCTTTAGCATTTTCAGGACTAACTTTTTAGCTTGTGGTGCCCACTACATTTAAAAAAAGTGATTAACCATTTATTGTGTGAGAGATGAAGACAGACAATATAAAACTCATACAAAGAGGTGTAACTCCACTACACCGACATAAAATATTATTGAGGCATTTACTGATGCAACTGGTGCTTTTACCATGATTCAATAATTGTACAACATAGAACTTCATCATTTCTAAAACAACTAACAGATTTAACTGAGTGATACCTGCTACAGAACATTTAGCCAAGTTGTGGTGTGTGTATAAGTAAAAACTTATCATTTTCTCTGAATTAGAGAAAATTCTCAATATATCCACAATATAATTCACATATGCACTCACTTATTGTTTCTGAAAATCATTAAAAATATATGTTGTGTTGATCTTGGAAAAATATTGTGAACTCATGATATGGTTCCATCACCTGGCTTTGTTGCCAGAGTCCATCAGGTCCTGGATGTCGTTGTAAGAAGTGACAGCCAGTTTGGACAGGTCCTCAACGTACGGCCCCATCAGAGGATGTTCTCTGACGCGAAGGTTCCCTTTGTTCTTAGGGTTCAGCAAGTCCCTCACTCGTTCACAGTAGATTTCCATGTAGCTGACCTGTTCAAATACATATTTAGTTTGGATCAAGAGGCACCTTTGAGAACACAACCTCCTTATCATTCATCTCCAAGTCTCACCTCCACAGAGTAGGACAGGCTGTTGTCTGTATTATCACTGATCTTTGTAAAAAGATCTTCACAAAGCTAGAAAGAGGGAAAAAAGGCATTCAATAAAAAATAAATTCAGAAAAAAGTTGCTTCAGTTAATCTGCACTGGTTACTGTGTCACTCTACCAGTGGGATGATTCCTTGCTGATCCTTGACATCCTGTTTTCCCATCATTGTGTAGGATTTGCCCGCGCCGGTCTGACCATATGCAAAGATGCAGACGTTGTATCCTTCAAAGGCATGAAGCAACATTTCCTCTCCAATGTCTTTGTACACGCGCATCTGGGAGGCATAATTGATATCCTCCGGCTGGGGAGTGAGATCAATATCTAGTAAATCAGACAACCCAACACAAAACAGCTCGCTCTAATGGAAATCTGTCTCCTTGTTGAGAGGTATCGTTGCAGAATGAGTTACCGATGTGTGCGACCAGTAGGAGTAATCAAAGTTGAAGCTCTTGTTGTCTTTTGCCTGCTTGGGGTTGATGATGGCTGAAAGACAGGACAAGAAACATGGATCAGTCGGAGCGTGGGAGCTGTCTGAGTGAAACAGTACCTGAGCTGAATCAGTCAAGTTGTGCGGACAGACCAGGGAAGGCCTCACTTTGTTCCTATTACAGTGGTTAGGCATGGTGCTACAGCGAACCAAATCCCTCCAGTCCAAATGTGAAACTAAATCTGCTGACAACTTTGGAAGTGTACATCAAAACATTTTCTGAGACTTAAGAGCCAGAATGGACTGAAATACACCAAGTGAGACATTATTGTGTGTTTTTACAATAACTCCAAGATGAACGATATCTACAGTTTGCCGTTGTCCGGTGCAGGTTCAAGTTTATTTTTGGCTCCTTATGCTATGATCAAGGCTTTTGTTTGGCTTTGAAAGGTTCTGGAAAGCTTGTTCTGAAGAAGAGGGGTGCGTGGCAGACAATTACTGCAATATTTTCTCTTCCTACTGATGTAACCTGACAGGATAGATTATTTTCAACTGTGCCGGATGTACACTTTAAAGGAAATGTATCAGGCAAACTCCACTTTTTTAACCCTTCAATACATTTTGTTGTGTACTTGGAGATTCTGGGAGTGTAGAAAAGTTTAATTTAGTCTCTCCATGTGCTACATAGATGTCTTTGGTTGAGGCATATTTGTCAGTATGTTTTGTTTTCTCCATTCCCTCTTAAGTTTTTTTGAACTATTACAGCCAAACAAGATCATGGATCTCTGGTGAACCAATTTTCCGAGTTCAAGGATGATCAGGCTGAAAGAATAAAGACCAAAATGTTTGGTTGTTGGTTGTATTACCCATATAATTCATTACACTATCCCCCCAGCGTCAGAACCTCTTCAAAGTGCCATGTCAAATTTATTTTTTTTTTAATTCACCCACATCCATGGGGTATCTCCTTTTTGTTTGTGCAAAGCTATTTAAGGATGAGTGCTTCAGCAACCTCTGCCAGTATAAAGAAGGATTTGCCGAAAGGTTTTGTCTGATTGAGGGATCAGTTCCTTCTGTCTGTAGTAGCAATGGACAAAACTGTAAATGATGCCAAATTGACATCAAACTGTCACTGAGATATTAGTTTATATGTGTGCTGATATGAAGTCCTGGTATTGTTTTGCTAGTATCATTCTTTCTGATTATGTTAGCTCTGTGTCCTAGCTTTTAGCTCCTTAAAGACATGAACCTACTCTTTTTTGAACTGTTATTGTATGAACAGATTAGCTTTGTTCATACCATTTGTGCATTCAATCAAATACATTGCTTTCATTGAATCATGATAAATGGACATGATTCAGTGGTCATGTGCAAAAAATACACACGATCTAACTTGCTAACTATGTTGAGGTCTTGTTTACGAGATGCATTCGTTCATATTGTGGCATCATTTTCTTGTTCAAACATGTAAGACTGGATGGACAAGTCTTCTGTTGCGTACATCTTTAATCATTTTGAGAAGAATAGGTTTGTGTGCTTCTTGACGAGCTTTGCTATCAAACGACAAAAATAGCCAATCAGGGTGGAATGGAATGCTCTGCAAAATGGAGGGGGCGGGTGCGAGGTGCCTCAGTTGCATTTTGAGAGAGTGCACACCAAAACGAGTTGCTCTAAGACACACCTCAGAACAGGGGAATAAGACGAGCCAGTGAAGCTACAAAAACCAAAAATTCAGAACAAAGCACACCGGAATGCTTTTAAGTCAAGCTGTGATTAATATGTGATTTAAAAGCCGGAGCAGAAATAAATGAAGAGGAATATATTCACCTCTTCCCTCCTGTATCAGCCAATACATTCGTTGGTTACCATGGCGACTGACAATGGACTTGTGGACAGACATTACTACTGGCAAAGGAATTACACTGACTTTTATAAGCAACTCTCACTGCTGATTGGTTGTCAAAAGATTTCACTTTGATTCTTTCCCTTAACTTAACTTATCCTCCACATAAGGGAAACAACTTTGGAGGTATGAGTGATTAATTTGGTTATATAATGCAGCTGTAAAGACAATAAATTGCTTGTTAGTAGCTGCAGCAATTTATATAACCATCTAGTTTAAACAGAGTAAAACTTATGCTGCATTTGCTGAAACCCATTACAAATTGTAAGTATCAGACCACTTCAAAAAATACAGAGAATAATTACTCACAGCAGAACTATCAGATCAGATCTATCATATTTTCTAGGGCTACACAATATCAGAAATCTGATCAGAGACACTATCGTATCAGGTGGGGGCGTCAAAGAATCCATGTCACCTGAAATATTATTATTCTATTATAACTGTGGTGAACTCCATTTATTATTCAGCGATATTGAGTAAATATTTTTACTATCTTCCAAAAATTTCATATAACTCTGGTAGACAATTTCACAATTGAGTAGCAGAAATAAAATCAGGCTCTATAAATATATGCAGGTAAAAAGCCATTTTGTTACAACGGGCCATTTTAGAGCACCTAAAATTTTGCTTGGCTGGTTTGTGCTCAGCTCCTCTTTCTGCTGTTCAATAACGTGTCGCTCTCTCTTAGTTTTCGTTTGTTTGCATCCTAAAAAAAAAAAAAAAAGTCTCTTTGTCATTGTTGTTGCTAGGTGACTAAAATGTTGCTGTCATTTAATATCTTCCTGTCTTCATTCTCTGTGTGCTCAAAGTCACAATCATCCATTTCATCCTCCATCTTTCCACTCATACATTTAACACAATTTGTGCAGCATTTCTATTCTGTTGGTATAGCTGATAATATCATGGTAAACATGTTAATATTGCAATTATTTTTTGGCTTACAAAACACCATTAGACACAGACCGTCTGGCATTTCTGGGATAAAGATGATTCAGATATACCAAGTTAGATTATGACGTCTCATCCAGTCGTAAGCGACCACTAACCTGATATCACTCCAACACGACTGCTACTGTACCCTTTAATGAACAGCTTGTTTAAGGTTTAGCAACTGTGCAACTGACTCAGTCTCAATGTGTCTCAGGAAATTTATAAGTGTGGAGTAAATACTGTAAAAATGTAAAACCTAGTCAAGTATGTTGGTCTAGTTTCTAGTGCAAATATTTAAGCACAATTGAATTCAGACAAAACTGACCTGCAAGTAACATTTCATCAAGATTTAGGAAGATTTAAGGAATTCCTTGATATTAATGAAAGAAATGCTAGTCTTCTTCATCAGTATTGGAAGATTATTTTACGAGCAGATGAATTCACTCATAACTTGCTTCCTGACAAACATATTTTTTGTCTGCCTATTGGTTAGCCCAACCAAAGGCAGCATATTTAATAAGGCGATACCAGCGATGAAAATACTTCCTCTGTGCTCCCAGAGCAGCAGATCACTTTCTCTACTAATGCAGATGTGGTCAATAAGAGAGAAAAAACCAGCAGCTAAGTACATTCTCCAGTACTCTATGATTCATTACACAGTGAATCATATGAAATATGGGCCAGATTTCAGCCCCATTCTTCACTATGACAAAAATTTATAGTACACAGATAAAAAAAAAAAAAAAAGCAATTTCTACATTTTTCTTTTCCCAAAGCAGATCCGGCTACATGTTATTGTATAAAACATATGGAAACTTAGTTTTAATCAATTGATCATTCTAAATTGCCACACCAATTATCATGTTCATCTTTGATACTGATGATATTGTTCTAATCTACATGAAAGTTGTTCTCTCATACATATTAAAGAAGACGCAAAGAACACAAAATACTGTTTTCCAAATCAATAACTAAAATTATGACACAAATCATGTTCACAGAATGCTTCAGCAAAGATTGGATCTTAAAAATAACCTTGACTCTGTCCAGGATGAGTCTCTGCAACTGATGCTGACTCATCCTGAATGTTGCTCTGATTCAGATAAAACGAGCCCGCTAGCTCTTCCACAGAAGGACATGGAAACACCTTGCACTCAGATCAGGTGATTACTTTAGGGTGACTGAGAGGTTACTGGGAAACACAGAAGCTAACTTAATCAAAATGCACTCAGTAGTTCAGTTCTGATAAAATCTCTACATCATTTGAACTCAGATAAGGCAACAACCGTGTTGGTCATGTTCAGTTTTACCATGTAGCTTCTGATTTTGCAATGGAATTGCTTGCAGAAAGCCTAAAAGACGCTCGTGTCGTGTAACATATCGGCTATAAGACAAAATATGGCAGTATTACCTTGTACTAAGGTGAATTTTAGTGGAATCCAACTTCCCCACTTCTCTCAAATGAACAGAGATTTTATCTTTTGCAGGACACTGTAAAAGCTTCAAAATATTGCTAAAAATTATAAACATATCAATTATGTTTGTCTGTTTAATAGGCATGCTAGGCAGCTGTACAGTGGTTTTAGAGAGTTGAAATATCTTATCATGGCTTATACCCACTTGATACATACAAACAGTAGTTGGCACACGTCAGCTAATTTGCTAATAGCAGAGCTAATCTTTTGTTCAGCATTTCTGCTCATTTTGAAATGTTTCCATTTTGGAAACTTTCAGTTGAATAAAATTTGACATTTGTGATTTTGGTTCTCTGCTGTTTATACTGATGCTCTGAAGCAAATGAATCCTGTTTACGCAGCAGCTCCATTTCCTCTCCTCATCTTGTCTGTCTTTTTCTCTCCAATAACTTTATTTCAAACAAAAAAACATACAATAACAAAATAAAACACAAGACAAAACCGTAGTGTGATGGTTGTATTTGTTAATGTAAAAGACCATCATTTGATCAAATCAGGATATACGTTGCGATTATTTTGTGCATTATCGACTAAAATCATAGTTGCTTTTCATTCATGCTTTCGGCATCCTTCAGTGACATATCCCATGTTTGTATTTGTCACAGCTGCTGGGTTTTTATATCATGGTGACTGAGTGATGCCGGTCAGGCTGTCATGGATGACCTGGCCCAGTCAATAAAAGAGGAAATGTGGCTGCATCAGCAGGTCTGACACAGGGGAGTTAAACCCATTGACTGAGAGTCACCAACACGCTGCACTTAGCAGCAGCAGCAGCTGTTTACTGCTTTATGATGGGCTGCTGACTGAATTATGAAGTATGAATAGAAGACACATACAGAGTATGCGCAACTGTCAAAGAAATGCTGCAGGAAGATGAACAAAAGAAAACAGGTTTGATTGCTGTACAACAGGTTTGATATGTCAACACTTTTACAAACATTGAACTGTAATAATTTGATAGCATACTAAGAGCTTCAATGGTACAGAATCCAACGATGAGATGCTCTGCAAAAACACAAAATCCTACCAAGTGTTTTTGGTTTAGTTGCTTTTTCAAATATCATCACCCACTTGAAATAAGACAAAACTAACTTACAAGTAAGACATAGGAGCTTGCCTCTTTAACTGTGATGAGAAAGTTCTAGTTCCATTTGCAAATTAGTTCACTTATAAAATGAAAAAATTAAAAAATTTCTTGTTATAAGTAAAATAATCTGCAAGGGAACTAGTACGTTTCAAAATCAATAATGAGGAATTATTGGCTTAAAACAAACTGCTTTAACTTGCAGAAAAGTTACTGGTAAGTTAGTTTTATCTTATTTCAAGTGTGAAAAGATATTTGAACTAAAACTAAACCAAAAACACTTGTTAAGATTCGGCGTGTTGGATGTGGTTGAGAACAATAATTTTGAAATTCGGCCGAGATTCGTTCACCAAGAGTTAGCGCTCTTTTGCCTTCCAAATACAGACATTATTCCTCTGCATTTCTGTCCCCTGCATCTTAATTAAGGTCGGCGTGGGAGGGAACAGCTCACACAACAAGACTACTGCCATTTTCTCTCTTTGTGGGAACCGAGCTATTGTTCCACTCCTGAGTGTCAGCTAGAAAGCTCAGAAAAAAAAACAAAAAAAAAACAAAGACAGACACAAATTCCAAGGCTCCTTCTTCCCTTGTTTTGGCCAAGACTACTTGGGGACAAGGGGCCATTTATGCCCAGCCTCTGTATCCCCTCCAGACACTGCCACCAATGGATTTCTCTTCATGACGTCAGCCTGCTCATATCCTCCAGCCCACATCCAGAGCTATTGACTCAGTTTAGAAGGAAACAATCTGCTTTGCCTAAAGACTGGCAGCCGAACTATAAGTATCTTTGTGTGGCTGAACAACATGGAGTCCATTAGTAAGGGTGGCATAATGCTGAGGTCATTTTGATTTCTGCTCATGCCAATTAAACAAATTAAAACTAGAGATGGACTTCTTTGGAGTTTGGCACGCCAATTGTGATCAATTCCTGCAGGACGTTTCATGCATCAAAGCATTTATTCCTGTCCTTCTTTTAAATCAAACATCAGTATCAATCCACAGAATGTCGAACTTTTTATGTTTAACAGGAGGTTTGTCTTCTGTACTGCATGTCAAAATGAAATGTGAAGCTAGCGCTTTTAGTTTTAATATTTCATGGCTTGTAAAATCTTTATGGTTATGGGCCATTTTATGAACAAGTGGAATTATTGGCACCTTTCTGAGGTAAACATATTAAATGTAATTGGTCGAAAATGACTTTTTGATCTAAAAAGCCTGATTTCATCCTGCACTTTAAAGACTTTTTGCTCACATATATAGATATATATATTATATATATATATATATATATATATATATATATATATATATATATATATATATAATATATATATATATATATATATATATTATATATATATCTTATTCCCACTCTGAAGATTTTTATTATTATATTGGGATCAATTTGTGATTTTTTTTGACCATTTTGGTTCTGATCAACTTGAAGATTTGATTATAATATTTTATTCTGTGTAACTGATTCCACCAGGGGTTTTCCTTCATTTTTTTCCTCATTTTTACTTTTCCTTTATTTAACCAGAAAGAAAAATATATTTGATATTAAGAATCTCTTTTGCCTTCAAGAATGAACCAAAAGCAGGTTCATCCATTAAGCTAGCGGTCGTCCAGCATGAGGAAGGCCTTCCTGGCCGAACACCAGCTGTGTGTTGAGATATTCCCCGTCAGCAGTATCAGAGATGGGTGTGTGGGAACTGCTTCTGCTGCCAGAGTCTTTAAACAGCAGTCTGATTCTGGAACAAAGGAAGAAGTCCTCTTATAGGTTTTTTGAGCGATGTTCTGAAAAGGTGGAGATCATTCCTCCTTTCTGCCAAAGGTAGAGTTTAAAATTATGCGTGGAAATCTTGATGCTGAAATTTCAGAGTGTAACACATGGATAGAACTTTTAATAAGATTAGACTTTATTGAGAAATCATTGGATATTTACGATATTTAAGTTGAATTCTATTCTATTCTATGTTTCCAAATTAATTGCTTGATTAAAATATGTTTGTCTGATAACCTATTTGCAATTGTTGGTTCTGTGAGAAGTTCCTGTGAAATCCATAACTCCAACTGAGGCTACAACGTTGTGAATCTCTAAATATTTTTATGACATATACATTTCATTCTGCATTTAGGGATTCTTGAATTAAAACAAAAACAAATTATTACTTCAGATTGAATTTGATAAATTATTATTGAAATTAATTATATAGAAAATTTGAAAGCAGAAATGTAACTGAAATAACTGGATCAAGTGCTAAAAGAGTGACTAAATCAGCATTATGTCCAATGATATTGTTTTTATACAGTCCAGTGACTGTAAGAACTGTAGACAAATGAAACTGTAGAACTCGTCATGTTACGAAGGCCTTTTTGAATGTTTGCTACACCAAAAATTGCAAACATAACCTCAAAGAAATGCACTGAGGCCCAGGAAACGGCTGTACAGCCTGTTATCAAGTCATCCGTGTCATGAGGAGGGAGGAGGGAGATGACTAAATCAGGCCAAACAGTAAATATTTCAGGATGTCCAATCTATTATTGATGAACGGCTTTACCTTGCAGAGCAGACAACATATCAAGTATCTTTCCAGTCTCCTCATTCTGCTCTCCCTAAAGTCCCAGGAATGTGGAGCTCTGAACTACAAATAAATGCTATCAACACAAACCATTTTTCAAAAATTTGATCAAAAATAAACTAAGTTATACTTTTTTGACATTCTTACAGATTTTGTAAAATCCACTGAACCCTTCGCATCAGTGGCGGATTTGAGCAAACTGATTACTTTGTCTGACATGAGGAACATTTATTAAATCCTGCTTTTACTGTGAAAAGGTCTCTCTGTAATTACATGTGTGATTAAATCTGATGGAGATTAATCCACCTGAAGTGTGACGCTCAGGGATTAGTTTGGTAAACGTCGACCTGGCAGAAACGACTGCTGTCGTCGTGTGAAACCAGAAACAGAAAAATGACGTCTTATTTCTGGGCCTGAATAAAGTCAAACTTTAAGTGCAACATAAAAGATCTGCTCTCGTCGTTTCTTGGGAAAGACCAGGCCTGTTTACCACGGATTAATGTCAGTCGCTCCTGATGGTGCGCACAGTTAATTTCTCTTTGAGTAATCCCTTCACTAAGAAAGGTCAGAGGTCAGGGTGAAAAACAAAGCAGCTGGAGGAGCATGACCTCAAGTCCTCTGATTCATGAACTCAAACTTAGATTTCTACCCTCCTGCTGTCTTTCATGTATAAAGTGCCAAGACAATAAAAACATGAATACAAACTGCCATTTATTTGTGAAACAAACTCTGTGTTGTCATTTCAGCGCCGATGTTCGGGTTGGGCTACTTACTGGTGGTGTTTCCAGACATTTGGATGATGCATTTGCTTTCTTTCTCCGTCTCTCTTGAGTTGAAGGGGCGGACCCGCACCGCCACCTTCACCGAGGCCCCTGCCATGGCGATGTCTTCTCAGCACCTCGGGGGGCCTTCTCTGGAACCCAGACGTGGGGCCTGCAGGTCTCTGAGAGGGAGGACAAAGTGCCTTCATTAAAATTGACCCTTTTCTATCCCCAACATCGTTTACCCCATTAAACATTTTTATACATAACAATTTTACTGAAGCTTGTTATGTTATGAAACAAAAGAGAGTAAAGAGAGCATGTTACACAGCTGGTTTCTCATTTTCATACTTGAAGAAAGAAATTAATAAGAATAAAAGAGCATCCCAATATTTTGCAGTTGAGGACAAAGGAGGAAGGCACGGACACATGGCTGTAAAATAAATAAATAAAAAAAAAAGGTCATGCGTGGTCAGCTGCAGCTGAGGAAGATGGATAATAAAGCTGGCTGTAACAAAAGAAGTGCAGCAGCAGCTAAATGTCAGGATGTTTATCTGGATGACAATGGGACTGAAACAGACCAGAAATCTGGGAACTGGCGTCAATTCAGCAGGGCAGCTTCACGTCACTTTGTCTTACAGAAATAAAATAAAATAAAATAAACATGAAAATCTATTTGCTTCTGATCAGTTTGGGTGTGTTTGAGGAGCATGACTCATCGCCAAAGAATAATCCATCAATGTTAATGTCAATTAAGAGACCAGTACTCTGCATTCAGCGGTCACTGCTGCTCCCTAACCTTACAGAACATCCTTCAGAAAAAGCATACTCATTCCTGTTCGTTAATATTCATGGACTGAGGTAATTAATGTATCAGGATGTGTGTATGCGCCCTCATTTTATGATCTAACTGTCTGTCATCATCACTGATTCATGTGTACCTGCTGTGTCATCCTCCTCTCTTGAAATCCTCATAAACGTGGCCCCAAGCATATGAATCTATCAGAGGTGTTTGAGAAACCTGCACCAGCAAGAAGGCTTTTAAGGTTTGATCTTATTGCGGCGCAAACATGATGCGGCGGATGATGATGACACAAAAATGTAAAAGATTAGCAGTGAGTTAATATTAAAGACTTTTTTTCTCTCTCTTTTATTTGCAGTTAAATTACAAAATCTTACTGTGGAATGAAATTCAACTTTTTCACTATACATTTTTTTGAACATCTTTTCTCACTCTTCATAAGGGGTGTGATGACCATAATCTGCTCCAAGAGCTCAGGACAATCAGCTGATGATGATGATGATGATGATGATGATGATGATGATGATGATGATGAAGCAGCTCGGCGGGGCGGCCACCATCTTTCTGGTGGCAAATGCAGTAAAATACCCATAACCTTAATATCTGTCCTAAATTACCACGTAGTAAGCCATTATTTTGGCACGGAGCCTCATAAAGTGATGACGTTTGCGTCACATCTCGGCACCTTTTCAGGGTGACATGCTGGTTTCAGGCCTTTGCTGAAATAAAAGCAGGTCATATTATTTTTTGACGATTCATTAAAAGAACAAATAAAAAGCCGAATTATGGCGTCATTTCTCCAGTTGGACAACATTTGCTGAAGACTTCAGCCAGTGACACTGCATTCGTGTCAGCCAGCCCTCCCTGCCTCCCTCCTTCGCGTTTTAAATGTAACCCGTTTTATCATTTATAGACGCAGCAGAATAACATGTGAGCTGTGTAAATGTGTGGAGAGTGATGCCGCTCTGCTGCTGGAGGCCGCCGTGTTCATTACTGACAGCTTTTCTCTGGCCGCGCCCTTATGCTCACTCACTCCCGAGAGATTTAACACCAAGTAAAGAAGGACCGTGTAGTGCAGAATGTTTCACCAGGAGGTCATTGAAAAAGGACGACACACACACACACAAACACACACACACACAAACACACACACACACACACACACACACACACACACACTAAAAAAACTAAAGAAAAACGGGGTCGCCTTACCTCCAAGCAGCTCCTGGGAACAGACCGTGTTCGTCGTGCCTGTGTGTTTCACATCCACCGCCCGGGGATAGGATACCTCCACTTCCGCCGCTCGCCTCCAGGTCTGTCACCAGCCTCTCCTCCTCATGAAAACGGGACCGGGAGGAGGACGTCAGCGCGACCAGAACACCCTCCTCCGCCCCGACTGGCCCTGTCCGCCCTAACTGGACCTCTCTGGAGGACCGCGGAGGGAAGGAAGGGGGCCACTCTCGACCGCTGCTTTTGGGAAGCGGAGCGGTCAAAATGGCTCTGTTGTCTCGGTGTCTTTGGTGAGGATGCTCGAGCTCCACTGAGCCGGTGACATCACAGCCGGGGGGAGGAAGCAGAGTCGCTGCAGCACCGAGGAGGCAGGCAGGCAGGGGAGAAGGCAGGCAGGCAGGGGAGGAGGGAGGCAGGGGAGAAGGCAGGCAGGCAGGGGAGGAGGCAGGCAGGCAGGGGAGGAGACAGGCAGGCAGGCAGGCAGGCAGTCAGGGGAGGAGGCAGGCAGGCAGGCAGGCAGGGGAGGAGGGAGGCAGGCAGGGGAGGAGGCAGGCAGGCAGGCAGGCAGGCAGGCAGTCAGTCAGGGGAGGAGGGAGGCAGGCAGGCAGGGGAGGAGGGAGGCAGGCAGGCAGGCAGGCAGGCAGGCAGGCAGGCAGGCAGGGGATGAATAGATAAAGATCAGGGCGGGGATAAGGGTCCCTTCAGGGCTACAGCATAAAAAGAAAATATTCAAGCTAAGAAAGATGTTACTGCACATTATATGAGGGACCATATAGCCTACACGTTTAAAAAAAATATATAGGTTATTTCAAAGTAGGGGCGGGACAATAAGGGAAAGCAGTATATAAAACAAAAATGCACATGTGAACCTCAATAAATTAGAATATAATGGAATATGATGGAGTATAGTTATTTTAGTAACTCAAATGACAAATTAAAACAAATATTTTTGAACAGACTCAGTGATTTTAAGCAAGCATAAGGCAACAGTCCAGAAGAACTCCTTTTGAACAGGCAGAGGCTTTTAGCTGAACCAGAGTCAGGAGGGGCAGACTACTGGAAGGACAGAATTGACTATGGGATGCTGTTGCTGGAATAATAATTATAATTTCAGGAGCAGCATCCATCTATCCTTTTGCTCAGGTTTCCCCGAATGGCTGATGCTAATCCAGTGACGATATGCTGGCGTAAGAAGAAGCACCCAGAACACAAGTTCTCCACAGAAAAAACAAAAGTGGACAAGATTTGAACTTAGGACCTATTTGTTTTGAGGCAACAGCTTTAACCACAGTGCTAGGATCACATTTTCTGGTTGGGAAGAAATCTACTAACCCAAATTACTTTACATTTTACTTAAAATGATCCAATAAAAATGTATCCCAGCTACCTTGATCAGACCTGGGGAGAAGCCATTAGTCAGTTTGATCAGAGAACCAGGAGAAATTGTGCCCACAACTGTCCATCACAAAACAAAACTTGTCCTTCTAAAGAACAAAAAATAGCACAATCTGGAAAACCAGTAAGTACTTTTAATGCAATCTCCATCTTAAGTGGGAAGGGTTGAAAACTGTTCTAATGACGGCATGAGGGAGATCAATTCTAGTGAACAGAAGTTCTCTAACTGGTAGGAGGAGGGAACTGGATGATCAGGTTTCAGTCAGTGTGAAACATGATGCAGTGTTATTTGTGACCTTGCTCTTTGCACTGACCCACCGCTCCTATAGTCTGCAGCTCTCTGTCATAAATGTATTGTGTTTTTCTGCATAGAGCAGCATCGCTCCTGGACGTTCTCTGGGTCTTCCCCTGAATCATGTGCAAACGAGACCATGATAAGTTCTGACGTACACTCCAAGGTCTGCCAACATCTTCATCAGTCGCTGAGTAGAGGAATGAAAGGAGGTTTGAATAACAAGTTAAAACAATACAGCTTTAAAAACTGGATTCAGGTGAGCTTAATCAGAGGAACGTGGAACAGCTGAGGCAGAGAGCAAAGAGGCAAAGTGAGGGAAGGACAAATGACCAGGGTGACAAAGCCTGACACTGACAATAAATGAATGTTGTAAAATGCACCAACACAATAAATAAGTGAAACAAACAAACAAACACACACACACACACACATATAGAATGAACATAGCAAACATGATGGAAGTAAACAACAAGACCTTTCCAACAAGAAGGAACTAGAATGACAAGACTGATCAAAATACCAACACAAAAACTAAAACCCAACACAAGACATGCTACCTTTTCTAACTGTCCTTTAAGTCTTCCCTGCCAAGACTAAATTTGGTGGCCTGGCACTCTGAATAATTGACTTCCTGCCTGAGCTGTTGCCTTGATCCTGACTCAAAGGGCATGTTTTCTTAAAGAGATGCACTTGGAGTGTTTCTATCAGAGTGCGGACAAAAAAATGACCCCCTGTGCCGTTCAGCATGGAAACACGGATCAAAGTCCAGGTCTGATGAGGGCTTGTGACTCATGCATGTCCTGTCAAAGGATTCTCCCACCTGAGCTGTGGAGCTCTGCAGCTCACCCAGAGCCTTTGTTTTTTTTTTTCATCTTTCCACGCCTGTCAGTTTGTGATGATGCTGGGGGGTTTTCTTACCCATATTCTCTGACAAATCACTGAGACTTTCACAGCTTTGACGGTAAGCTGGATTTAAGAGCTTAAGTTAAAGTTACATACAGGTAGATTTCATTTTTGAATGGTCAGTTTTTATTTTGGATGTTTAAAATATCTTCCCGTTCCAGTCCGGAGTGTCCTGTACAAAATCAAAGTTCATTACTCGCATTATTGTACAATTATTATTATATTTGTTGATAAAGGACAACATGATCATTTATGGCAGTCATTTCTGGGAACAATTTGTCATCCAGCAAAATCTGTTATTGTGAAGGGCCTATTTTTTCAAACGTGAACTCAGGGTTTTACTGGAATGACGGTCACCACACAACCACATCCTGACAGCTTTCTGTGAGAAAAGCGCCCTCTGGTGGTGGATTGCAGACTCAAAGGGGGGTTTGCTTTTTGATAAACTCACAATAAAACTAGAATTTGTCATATTGTTACTACTTTTATACTCGAATACTAAAAGGTTCGCTCACTCTCATCGTAAACTGATATTTTCCTTCATAACTTTTCTAACATTTAACATTTAGAGTAACATGAAAATCTTTCTATAGCATGTCCATGCTTCTGATACAAGAACAGACACAAAACAAAAAGCAGAGATGATCTTTTGACTATACTGATGAGAACTGTTTATTTTTCCAGTTTAGTGACATCTAACTTTTAGCCTCAGTTTCAACAATGACAGAGAGAAAATATTCTGGTGACAGAGGTATCTGGTACAATGGGTAGATTACACTTTATTGACAGTTCACCTTAATGTTATTCTTTTTTTTTCAGAGAGCAGACTGCTAGCACAGCAGCCGCCTCCATTTTTGTCACACTTTACATCCATCACAGCCACGAGGGATGACAAGCCTTGTCTTAAGAGATCACGGTGATTTGAAAAACAAAACAAAACAAAAAAATCTGTCAGATCACAACTTTAAACATGAAGTGAAAAGTTCCAACTAAATGATGTCTGTTATGAGTTAATATTGCTTGGACAATAAACCAGAGTGCTTGTTCATATAATACTCTGCACTGGAAAATTCTCACATAAAGGGAGTTAAAAAGTTTGATAAAATCACTCAAGGATTTTGTTTTGTCTGAATGAGCCACTCAAACCCGAACAAAGCTGCAGCAACGTTACAAAAATGCCTTTTTCTTTTTTTTGCTATTAAACTGGTTGGTATTGTGAAGTAAGTCAAAGGCTTCTACCACTAAAACGATAATATGATGCATCTGTAGTAACACAGGATCGGGCTGACATTTAACAGCACCTTTCTTTAGGCAGCTTTACACGACTAAGTGTGTTATGTAGGAGTAACTTTATGTATTTGCAGAAAAAAAAAACATGCTGGACTGCAGTATATAAAGCCACCGTCACCCAGCCATGCTATGCATAGTGCACAGGTTGAGTGCTCAATGTTTTGTTAGATACACCAGAGAATTGCAGAATGTATTGATATCATTTACAGAAAATGGAGGTCATGTGGTAACATTGTTTAGGGCCAGGCTAAACATCAAAGTCCAAGTTGGATAAACTGGATCGCTCCACTTTAGGTCCGCTCCTCATTCCCTTTCTTCATTCTCATCAATAGGGGTGCACCAATTGCAGCTTGTTGGCCGATCACCGATATTTAAAAAGCCTGACCCGCGGTTTGACTTTATTTGTCTAAAAAGTTGCTAAATATCTCTGTTTACTTCATAATAGAAGTTATGAAGTAGACCCCGCAAAAAAACAAAAGAAAAAATCATACTGGAAAAAGATAAAGTGTTTTTAACAAATCATTCTAAGTAATCTGTTTAATTAGGGTAGAAGCAGAATTTAAGTCCCTTAAATGCACAAGCTAATGAGCAGAACTGCTACTGGATGGCAAATACGTAATGGTGAGAGAAACACTTAAAAGGAACGTCGTGGAGTGGATTGAATAAAACTCTATCAGATTAATCTCTGTGCATTCAGTCCACAAACAAGCCTGGGGAGCGATAGACGGGCTAAGCAGAAAAACTGAAGGCCGAGGGGAGGTAGCTAGCATAGCGTTAGCTAACGTGCCCGGTAGCAACTCCTAGCTTGCGCTGGTTAGACAGTTTTATTATTTACATCACACTTCACGATATATCTGATGCCTTTTCCCACCCTCTCACTCTGCGGTTGCCGGCGGACATGACCCAACTGCGCACCAATAAAACCTTAGAGATTTTTATGTGAGCTAGAGCTACCCACGTGCCATCACTCGCGCGACCGTCTGTCCGCCGCTCCGCTTTACAAAATGCACAGAGATGGCACTTTATCATCAGACTTTTGTTTTCTTTTTTTTTTGAATCAGCGATCACCGTTTTTGCCAATCGTGTCTTCAGTTCGTTTGAAATGGAGAGCACAGGGAGTGCTGTTGAGACTTTGTGCAAAGTTCCTCCCCTCGTGGGAGGAGTCACTGCGGCACCACCTCCTTCATCGAGGCCAGCGCCGAGTGGATCCGGACGTGAAGTCGGTTTTCGAAGTCGTAGCCTGTGAAATCCTCCTACGGAGAGATTGTGAAACAGGAAGTTATTCAGTTTAGTTTTTATAATTTTATTTGGTATTTTAGTATAAGTATTCAAGTTCAGCTTTTCACCTTGGCTTGAATTAGGAATGATCTCCCCTTTGCCACTGTCTGAATCCAACAATGGAAATAATAGTCATTGCACAACGTCCACAAGTACAAAGATGAATGTTTTTTTTTTTAATGCTACATGC